AGTAGAATGTATCGAGTATTGATACTTTAAAAATAAATGTCCAGTGAACTGAACAAGGGATTAACAGTTAAAATTTTGCTCAAATAACGCTTAATGTTAAATTTTACACTGACATCTGAGCAGAAAAGTAAGCACATACCTGGAATTATCTGATTCCTAGATAAATGTAATGTTTTCTCTATATATACACTCGGGATTTTTTCCCACCCTTTTAAATCCAAATCTCACCTATCTTTCTATGTTCTATCTATTTCCAGTTCGTGTTTTGACATACATTTAAATCATTTTCACTAAATGGCGGTTGGTGAAATATCTACACAGTATATACATGTTTACTCAAATTTCATAATGATGTTTTATTTTTCTGGTTATAAACTGTTGTTTAGTAAAGGGAGAAAAACGTGTTTAAGATTTCAAATTAAAAAAATTTCAAATCTTTTGATACAAAACATACCTTTTCAAGGAGGTTAAAATATATCTAAAATGAAAACATCTTTAAAATTTCATTTTATAAAAAGGAACAATATTCATATATAAAAAATAATTTAAAATTGATGAATCAGATAAAATTTGATAAATTGGTTATTCAGCATCAGAAAGCTACCCCTAAATACCCCCAAAAAATCTAGATTTACACATGAACAGAGATTATGAATTAGGAAATTATAGGGACTATGAATTTTTAACACAAATTTCTTAGCTTAGTTCAGTGTTACGTGAGCCCTTACGTTTTAATAACATCATTTATTTTGGAAAAAGAGACATATTTTGAACAATATTCATCTATGTAATTAATTTAAGTATATAAATCAGATAAACCTTTATTAAATGTTAAGCAGCATCATTTCTCCGCCCCAAAATACCCGAGAATCACAGGTGAACAAATACTATGATTTAAGAACTTAGGAACTATGAAATTATGAAAGTCATACCTGTTTTGCTTTGAGTTCATATTCTGAAGTTTTAAAATCTTTTTCAGTTAGCAATGTCAAAATGTGGCTTGATATTTTTACAACCAAATGACATTGCGATGGCATAACATGAGAAAAATGTTTAAATGGTGCTTCGGTTTGTGTACAGAGAGTTATTTATAGTTTTATGTGATATAAAATAAAGAAGAGAAACTTGATATTGGTCTTGCTAATCAATCGATCAATTCCTTACTTTATTTGTTCTTTGCACACACTTCACACTTAATCAACAACTTGAAGCATTTAACCCCTTACATGGCATATACGCATTTCTACGCATCTGACTTGAAAAACGAATATAGTGTAAAAAACATTCATAACTTCGTTAATACTGCAAATATCAGAATAAATCTTGCACCATTGGAAAGAGAAAATAATTACGATTAAAACAATATACAGTAATTTTTTTAATTGGATGTACCATGTTTTTTGCTAGCTTGAGTTAAACTTTGCGCACAATTTGTGCGATTTTGCCATTATCAAAATCAATGCGGGGGCAACATGTTATTTGTCAAAATGCTAAATTCTCTTGATTACCTCCCAATCCCACCCCACCCACCCCCCAAAATACTTAAAACTGGTTTGTAAAAAAAAATGTACAACATGCTCATAATTTTCAACACAACAATAAAATATTTCTAACATATTTAACTAAGCAAAAAAAAAATAAATAGAATGAAACTCATTCTGGAATAAATGGAAAATCCAGCATGATTATGGTGTATTTTGTTGCCATGGCAACTGAAATGATGTTTTTATAATCATTTTCAGAAACTACTCAATGCCTACTTTCAGAATATGTATATATTGGTATGTACAAAAAATACAAGAAATACTAAAAAAAAAAAAGGATTGAAATCTTAATATCAATTTGTCTAGAAATGCTTAAAATCTTTGCCATGAAAGGGGTTAAAAGAAGCAATAAAAGTCTCTTCCATTATTCATACAATGAATTGACCACGGATTTTTCCGTTATTTCACGATCATGACAAGGAGTACATGGCGGGTGTGACCGGTCGGCAGAGGATGCTCACTCCTCCATGGCACCTGATCCCACTTCTGATGTTTTGGAGGTCCATGTTTGCTCTGATCCTATTTTGTATTGTTTTATGGACTTTGATAAGTATGTAAAATCACATATTTTCGTGGGGGCAAATTTTCGTGATTGAGGAAATATATTAGTTCGTGTGTATTTGATTTCGTAGATGGAGAATTCTTGAGTAGTTATGTATGAAACCATTAACATTTCGTGGTGGACATGAATTCGTGGGTCTAGCTCTTCATACCTCGAAAACAACGAAAATTAAATCCCCACGAAAATTTTTGATGTCATATCATTTAATATCGTATATCAAGTGTAAACTTACGACGCTCGTTCAATTATTTTTACACTTTTGTAATTCCTATGAAATGAAGACTTAGGTGTCTCTGATAATGTGTCGTCCAAATTTCAAAAAAATCTTCTTTAAACTCCCGTTTTTGTAAATATTAATTCACATTTGTTTAAGGTGGCGGTTCCCAGCAGATACACTTAAATTAATTTAAAAGGTGTAATTTTCCAGTTATTAACTATTATTTAACAAAGGGGTAAAACTTGTTCGACATTTCATATTTGATACAATTTCTTGCCCCTTTTCAACGAGGTTGAATTTTCTTTAAAAGAAATTGATCACTCATTCCTTTTTATATAGATTCCACATTTTAGCATCAAAAGTACACTCAAGACGCATGTTAAAAATTTGTACAATAATTTTAGAACTAATTTTCTTTCTACAGTATAAATTATTTATTCAAATCCGTCAAATGGCTAATAGTGATAAAATAGATATTTTGGTGGGAAAATGCACATGTGGTCTAAAAGTTAACACTTTATTTTCTATCTTTTCGATCTGTCAAGAAACTGTACACTTTACCTTTTTTTCTTTTTCGTTGAAAAAAAGAAAACTGCGATGATATCTCACCAAACTAACAATAGAGTTTTATATCTCTGATGAAATATTATATTCACCGACTAAACGATTGTCTATATAAAAATGTCCTTCGTGACCTTGAAAGGAAAGACGTTTAAAAGGTTAAAAATGGTTGAAATAAAAGTAATAAAATAAAGTTGCAACTATATCCTAAAGAATCTGAATTAATTTAAGTAAAAAAAATAGCTTTTTGATAATCTCAAAACCTTTACTTAATCTTATCTTCACTGTTACTAGCGCCATAAACTTTCTGCTATATAACAATAATTTCTTGCTTACAAAAGATGTGAATAATTGAAAATATTCATCATTTCTTCATAATTTATGCTCATAAATCATTTAAGTTCATAAATTAAAATTTGAATGTATGATTTTTTCAGCATGAGTTGGTCACCCAAAATACCTTAGAATTATACACTGAAAGAAAAACCTAGTGAATTTATAGGTAGTGTGCCTCGTAAAGCATTTGTCGTGATTAGTCATCTCTCAGTTTACTGGCTAAAATAGTGAGGAGTGGAGAGGAATCATATAGATACTTCGATACCGAGTGAAAGTTAATTATCAATGCTTATATGTACCCAATACCTTGTAAAACTACTTATAAGGTAGTGATTGTATGGACAGTAAATTTACTAATTTTTATAGTGACTTTAACTAGTTATTTTTTACAGTGTAAGAGTTACACATGAACAAAATTAGGAACTGGGAAATAATTGGAATTAAGAACTAGGAATTAACTGAAATTAGGATCGCGATGTCTGTTTCGCCTTTCGATCATTATTTTTTGAAGAGTTTTATTCGACTAAGTCAAGTAGAAGTGTCAAAAAGTGGCTCGAATTTTTTCAACCACGTGACATTTCAATGGTAAAGCAAAAACTGTTTTAATGGTGCTTCATTTTGTGTACAGAGAGTAATTTATTGCGCCATGTGATAAAAAATACTATCAAGAGGGTAAAAAATCAAACAAGGAGAGAAAGGTTGTATTGCTCATGTTAAATCATCGATCATTTTCTCATTTTTAAGCCGGGTTTATTGCTCAAAAGAGCAACTGTCAGTTATAGGCAGCCTGTTCTAATAGGATGTTGACCCCACAACTGCTATATTGTAGTTACGTGTAAAAATATAGTACTTACTCTCAACCCCTTGTGATATTTATTCTTTGCAAACACGTTACAATTTATTACCATACTGTAGACTTCATACAAAAGAGAACAATGGTGCAGAAAAGATTTATTGAAGTTTTTAAGGTGAAGTGGGAGTTGAAGTGGCAGTTACATGTACAATATATTAAATTGGGTTGGTCCGGGTTTTTTTTGTTTTTTTTTTGTTTTTTTTTTTTTTGGGGGGGGGGGGGGGGGTAAGCTTTGTAGGAGAAAATGTGTACAGAAATATACAAGTTATTTTCCTCGAATACGATAGAACATATTAAAAACTTTACCCAAATATTCATTTTCTAATAATGGTGATTAATTACGTGTAGCTCCAAAATGAAATAATTTTCAGTTAAAGTAGATTTGATTTTAATGTGACGCCAAAACGGTAACCCAGATTTACAAATTTATATTGTTTATATCAATAAAAATGTCTTTTATTTTAAACAAGCTAACCAAGAGATGCTAAAACACAATTAAGGTTTATCTTGAATATCATCGTCATGTAATCTCTCTCTCTCTCTCTCTCTCTCTCTCTCTCTCTCTCTCTCTCTCTCTCTCTCTTTAAAATTCTTTATCAAATTTTAATAAGGCTTGAGAATATTTGGCAGGAAGAGGCAATTTCTGTTTACCAGTTAATCAAATAATTCTTTAGTAAATCCTTAGTACAACAACCCTGCTATACAAAATAGGAAAACGCAATATTTTCTTCTTAAAATAACCTTGACATTGAAAACAAAATGGCTGAATTAAAGAGACGTCCCGGGAACTACGCCTGGTTGCAAACAAAAGAGATGAATTAAATATTCTTTTATTTGTTTGCCAAATACTCAGCAGAAAGATGGTGTGATAATTCTTACAAAATGTTTGTTTATCATCTTTTGTTTATCTTAATTAATTTGAAGGGTGTGTATTCTATCTTTGTATCATTCTGTAGCGAAGTTTTCAAAGTGTTAGTTTAGACCTGCTGAAATATGTAAGTAGTTAAACGTATAAAAGTATTTTGTGCATAATTCTTGATTTACAATTTAACTTTATATATCTATAGTTTTGCAAACTCATGATTAGCTCGTGCTTTATGTGTAAAAAAAATATCTTTGCTTGACTCGTTTAATATACAATCTGTTCTGTACTAAAAACAATAACTTTAACAATCAAGAACGCCTAAAAAATTGATTAACAATTATAAACAAAATTAAAAATCATAATTAGTGGTTATAGAGGGATTAAAGACAAATGTGCTCTTTGTATCATGATTGATTGTTTGATTGTGCTATAAAACTAAAAAAGCCTGTTTTGGAGTATAAAAAAGAGGTAGAAAATTGTGTCGGGAATTAAATTAATTTAATTTTACTCTGTTCCTTTCATACTCGTGTATTTAAAACCAAAACAAGTGGGAAAAAATATATGGATATTACTGATAACGAACAGTTTTCAAGCTTTAAAAGCCATTAAGCAATACGAATCAGGAGCAGAGCAGACACGGACCTCCAAAACATCAGATGTGGGATCAGGTGCCATGGAGGAAAGAGCATCCCCTGCCGACCAGTCACATTCTCGAAGAAATTTTGATTTAGTATCGCTGTTACGAGAACTCATTTGTTTCTTGAATTCTTCTGTGAAATTCTATATTTGAAAATACAGTTTTGCAACTTCCTTAATATCATATACAGGTAAATCTCATCGATGAAAACCAAAACGTAAATGTATTTCCATTTTGATTTTTTTTTAAAAAAGACAGAGAGAGAAAGCAGCTGTATGTGTAGAAAATAAAACAAACCCGTTGATTATTATTTCATAATTTTTTTTTTTTTTTTAAAAAGCATAAAGTCCTTATGTCTGTAGTTTTATTAGTCACGGTTTATTCAGTGCAACAACTGCAGATTAGGCCAAAATAAAAAATACCCTTATTTCCCCTAACGCGACCGACCCAATTAAATTGCGCCGACTGAAAAGATGTTTTTAAATACAATGATTCAAATTTTTTTTTATTGTCAACCAAGTTTTAAAAAATAAAATTTCATCAAAATCAGTTTTTATTAGAACGGCCTACATTGTTCTACTGTGATTTTCAAGCATTTGATGGAAACAAAACAGTGCCCAGATGTGATTACACAGAAGTAGTTCTTCATAAAACAACGGCGATGTCTCAATCTTATGCTTTTAGCTAACTGGAATTCTTCACTTTTAAAACAATTCGATAATAAAATTTACCATGACTATTTAAGAGTGTTTCGGACGTGTCTTGGCGTCTCCATGTGAGTGAATAAATTTTCGAAAGGGGCGGTAAACAACAAACAAACAAACAAGCCTATCTTTGAATATAAGGTACGTAATACATGGAAAGGCCAGCCTCATGAGCAGATGAGGGGCACGCCTATTGAACACATCATTCAATTTCACTGCATTTTATTTACTAATAAACAATTCACCTATGTTCCTATGTTTACTATATGCCATTATGGAATCGTAGAAGTTGTTGTAAATAAGTCTGCCTATTCATCCTGATAAATATAAATCAATTGTACTTTTTCATGCCTTTATTTACGGGTTAAACTTCGTGACTATGATATCGTTTTATATCTTGGATTTTTATCATTTGTAGATTCGGTTTGGTTCATTTAAATATTTAAATACTCTTTCCAAATGGTTTTGAAATCATAATTCAGCTTCCTGAGACGTCCAGTGTATTTTTCTTTAATTAGACCCTTAAAGATTTGTTGTTTCTTTGCTTTTTATCCCTTCGAGATTTGTTGGGACATTTGAACAATTCCCTATTGCTCCAAATTTAGACATACTACGCACTTTTTTGCCATTAAGCAGTGGGGATCTTTTTTAAGACAGCATCTTCGGCGACAATGGACATATGTTTTTATGGTCCCTTTTGAAGGACCGTTTTCAACGTTCCTCATTGGTATTTGAACCTGTGACTTAAAATTAGCCACTTACTTCTTAACTCCAAAGCAAAATGCTCTAGAATCACTGCAAATCTCATGGCCCTCAAAAAAGTACATTGACTGTCTATGTCCAGTCTTTGCGTATTTGAGAATCTTGTCTTTTTTATTCGATTTATATAAATGTTCTCCGGTGTGAGATATTTCACAAATTCATCTAAATTACAGTTGTGAGTTAATTAATCAGGAATTTTACTTTTAAACGGCATATGTATAATACTTAGCATTTTGTTCACAAATCAATTTCTTTTGTACTTTTCTTATTTATAAATGTAATTTTCCATTAAATTTTAGAATGTAGTTTCAAAGCTGCTGTCAGAAAATAAAATTGTTTACCTACCTACCGACCCAACTTGAGAATTTAGGGTCGGGTTAGGGGAAACAAAGATATTTTTAATTCCTGCCTTAACACAAAAGGCATTTGGAATCAATTAGTCTGTTGGGTCCGAAAACTTCAATGCCAAAACCTTTAACTGCAGACTTGATAAGTTAAACTTTAGAATATGCCTTTTATCAAGATTAATGAATAATTATGCAAAAATGTGAACATTCAATTATAGCAGACGAAGGAATAGGGAGTTCATATCTTGCACCCAGAAACAACTTACAAGATGGCTAATTGTCTCGCCTGCGACGAATGTCGCGAAGCGAGACATAGCGACCATAGATTCCGTCGTCGTCGTCGTCGGCGTCCAACTTTTGGTTAACCCAAATGTCAAAGTTTTATAAACTGCAATAACTTTCTCAAATTTTATTCAGTCTTCTTGAAATTTGGACACAATATTCAGTATGGATAAAAATTTATATCCCAAGTATGATTTTGAAAAAAAAAATTCAAATTTTTCCGTATTTTTTCCTTAAGTTGGACTTAGTTTTTTCATGATAATTTATGGTGAAGACCTATATTCCAGCAACTATAAGTTATAGGGATATGATAATTAGTCAGTGGATACATCATGGGTAACCACAAACGTCAGTACCAGAATTAGGTCATCTTGACCTACATTTTTCTGCATGAGTGACTTTGGTTAAATTTTTGGTGGAGGTCCATATCTCAGCATCTATAACTTATAATGGCATGATGATTTGTCATTGTACAGGTTATAAGTAACCAACAACATCAGTACCAGAATTAGGTCATTTTGACCTACATTTTTCTGCATGAATGACTTTGGTTAAATTCATAATGGAGGTTCATATTTCAGCAACTATAACTTATAGTGGCATGATAGTTAGTCAGTGGATACATCATGGGTAACCACAAACGCCTGTACCAGAATTAGGTCATCTTGACCTACATTTTTCCGCATGAGTGACTTTGCATAAATTTATGGTGGAGGTCCATATCTCAGCAACTATAACTTATAGTGGCATGATAATTTGTCAGTGGATACATCATGGGTAACCACAAACGCCTGTACCAGAATTAGGTCATCTTGACCTACATTTTTCCGCATGAGTGACTTTGCATAAATTTATGGTGGAGGTCCATATCTCAGCAACTATAACTTATAGTGGCATGATAATTTGTCAGTCTACACATCAGACAGCAGGCGAGACACAGGGTTGCGGGCAACCCTTACGTACTTTTTTCAAACTATTAAACAACTATTAACAAACTGCATCAGTTTAAGGTTAAAATACTCAGACCAAGCTAAGTAAACAGTTTTTGTACACCTTCTTACTTCATTTTTGTCATTCACCAGGACGTCACACAGGACGTCACACAATCATCGAACAAAAGAGAGTCTTCATCGCCATCTCCTCAACACTCTCATCGAAAGATTCCTCGACGGAAGCAAAAAAGATGGCCATAATTTCATCGCATGGAAGACGCACCTTAAGAGGTATTGCAACATGGCGGCTCAAGAGGAGAAGGGCCTTAAGTCAGATTTTAGTTATCTGGAAAGGAGGGGTCTCTTGTCCGTGGGTCAATACAGCATCATTAACAAGATCTTCCAGAAGTTTGACCCCAGAGCAGTCAGTTTCATTAACAAGGTCAAAAAGGAAATGGCCGATTTACCCTCCGAGCAGAAAATGGGTTTGTACTTTCATTTTCACCTTTCTAGTTTCTCACACATGTTAGTAATTTGCCTTTTGATAATTGTTGAAAAAAGAAATTATTTATGGCTTTTAAAACAAGAACTATCAAGCGATTGCTCATTGGAGAGTCTTACTGTCTTCTGTAAATAAAATTATTTGAAGCTAACATAGGAACATTTAATAACTGTTGTCATTAACATTGTTTTTCACCTTCAGAGGCAAAGTCTGCAACTCTCAAGATCGAAGCATTTATTCTCCCGGTTGAGAAAACTGTCGAAAATGCATTATGGGAAATAATTCATGACACTGTCTCCTATATTGAGTCCTCCCCGGATCCTGTCGTCTCGACCGAGGAAGCTCTGGAAATTCTTGACAGTAATTCCGCCGGAAGTAGAAAGAAACCCAAACTTAAAGACCTCATAGATAAAACACTGAAAATTCAAAAAGAGTCACTTGGTGATAAAGACCATGTCAACGGAACTGGTGTCCTTAAATCTATTTTTCTTCTCTACCAAAAACTGCGGAAAATGAACCACCTTAAGCGATTAAAGATTGGCCCAAAGGGGAGTTTTGTTCTGCTTGCCGAATTTTCAACCGTTGTAGATTTAAAGAGTTGTCTTGCAGAGAGTAATTTAAAAATTCTGAATAGTGACGTCACGGACCTCTTTGCCACGGCGTATGAATACCTCGGAGTTGACATGAAGTATGGAAACGTCATAGTAAAAGTGAAAGAAGCCGGGATAAAGGAAGGGAGGAAAAAGTCTCCAGAAATCGACAGGGGGTGTAAGTTTAGAATTTTAAAAACTTGGTAAAGGGTGTTTCGAAAATTCAAACTAAATTACAGTTGTCTTTATAATACATTTATTTGTCATCTTGAGAAGCAAATAACTGTCCATGCTTCACCTTGTATATCAATTTTAGTTGCCAACATTCTACATGAAACGTATTGAAATAACGAATAGTATTCAAGATCAAAAGTCCATAAAACAATACAAAATAGAAGCAGAGCAAACAAGGGCCTCCAAAACATCAGAGGTGGGATCAGGTGCCATGGAGTGAGCATCCCCTGCCGACAAAAAGCACTTTTTCGATAAGACCCTATCATTTTGTTTACTAATTAGTAATAAAATATACTTACTAGATAAATGCATTTTTCAATTTTCATTACTGTAGTATGTTTTAAGAGTAAATGTTTATTATTTCTGCAGCCCCTGAGGAGAAGAGAGCGGCACAGAGGAGAATCGCTGTTGACGATTTAAATGAAATCTGTCATATAACCTTTGTTCTGCCTGACCAGTTCTGGGTCAGTGATTCCGAAGGGTCAATGATTCTGGTGAACTATGACGGAGAAATACTAGATACTCTCAAAACGAAAGCTCACGCTTGTGGAAAACACGCCATAACAAATAAAGGTGAGCTTCTGTACCTCGACCATGGCTGCGTGATGAAGTATGTTTTGGGACATGGCGCAAAAACTCTCGTATCGGACATCACGTGCGGTGGTTGGTGGGAGTGGTCAATTTTCTGCAGTCATCAAAATGGCGACATCTTAGTTGGAATGACAGACGAAGATTTAGACCATGGTAGAGTCCTTCGATTCAACAAAATTGGGGAGTTAATGCAAACGTTAGAATTTAGCTCTTCAATGAAACACCTTTACAGTGTTCCTAGGTATATAACTGAGAACGTAAATCGTGACGTCTGCACATCTGATAACGCGGGAATCGTGGTAGTTGATAGGGCGGGAAAACACCGATTTACCTACCACCTTAGAATTCCTCCGCACGGACTTTGCACCGACTCTCATGGGCATATTATAGCATGTAACTGGACATCCGCCATTTATGTTATAAACCGTGATGGCCATCTTTTGAGTATATTAGGTGTGGATACAAGGGACGTCATCTCCCTATGTATAGATGAAGAACATAATCTCTATCTGGGCTCAGATTGTTCGAATACCATCAGTGTTTATAAGATGTCCAAAGAGGATACGGCACATAAGTGTTCAAATATTTAGGATCAAACTTTCATTTTGCCACTGGTTATGGCACGTTGTAATTGTATTAGAATAAACATACACTGTACATGTATCTACTGTTTTAAAAGAGACAGAAATATAAATTTGTAACCAAAAACGTCTAAATTTCTTACAAGTTTTGTAAGTTTTATTGAAAGTTGAAAGATTAATGAAATTAAAGAGTATTTATCACTCAGAGCTGTTTTTTCTCTTTTTTTAATCATGGGTCCAGAGAGAAGAGAGGAGGGGTGAAAAGAACTTGAACAAAATATTCTTTAATATCTTTGTTTATATTGTTTATGCTAGCCCAAACTTGAATTTTCATCATATTAAGAGTTTAATAATATACAAGTGCCATTTTTGTTTAAATAATTTTGCCTTTTTAAAATAGACAATCTCCAAATGTTATTGTGTGGTTTGGAGGACCCTACAATACTATCAGTACTTTGATTATTAAGTCTATAGATTTTATATTAGATAATAGACTGTGATCTCATTGAATTGTCATTGAATTGTCATTTTTTTTATTGTCACCTATTAGCACGTAATGAGAACACTGATATGGCTTTAATCTGTATTTCTCACGGAAGAGCTGCAAGGGGATTAATTCTATCATTTTGTGCACATTAAAAATGGTACCAGCGGTTGTAAATCGTTCCGATAATCTGATAGCATTGAGATCTTATCTCCCCACCCAAGTTAACGTCTCAGGGACAGCTCCTATTGGAGGGAACACATACAAAAGTACATTGTAAAGTCTGATTCTTAAAAATGTCGATTCTAGGCAAATTTTTTGAAAAAAATCAAACATCGAATATGCACAAAGAACAACTGCATGGAAATCTGATGGAAAGATTCATCGATGTGAAAAAAAGGTATATGGTCATATGTCATGCACGTGACAAAAGAAAAGAAAAAATCTACATGTATTCCACTCATTAAACCTTTATTCAGAGAATTTTTTAAAGATATAAATAATCAATAGTTTCAAGATTTATCATCCTGTATCAGATAATTGCATGGTTTATCAATAGTGATTAATGTGTTACATACTAGAAATCTCCGTTTTTATTCTTATAACCAAGTAATTTAAAATGAAGAGGTGGGGTTGGGAGAGATGATTTCAATATCGCTGACTTTATTTAACAAAAACACACACATAACACAATTTATGACTGTAAAATATATTGCGTTTACCTGTTTACATTGCGGTTGTTTCTTTCCCAACTTAGTCCCGGCTGAGTTTCAATATATCAAATCATTCTTTCTTGGTACTACCTAGCCTTATCTCTAAACGCTTCATATTTATCGATTAATCATTTTTCTTAGTGCAGTTTCTGGGACAGAGTGTATTTCTGTGTTGTTTAATGTTTGAAATGTACTCAGGAACATTTAGTTAAAAATGCGGAAGCTGGATTTATTCTCTTTCAATTCTGTATGGAATATGACAAGAGAGATCACTCCTATTTGAATATCTTTCTGATATGGTATGTCCATGTGCTTTCAGGGCGCTTCAACATAAGAAATCTTTTTTTTTATTAAGTATATTTTGTAACGGTAGGAAGTTTTCCATGGTGTAAACATAAGTAAACAAAAGAGTTTCATATATGTTTTTTTAGGTCTTTCTTGTTATACTTTCGAGTGCGAAGGTTAAAGTTGATTTAATTCAATATTAAGTAGATTCTTACCAAAAGTAATAGCTCTTTCTTCTCCCGACAACGACAGCATAAAACGAGGTAAATACTTGACAAACAAGCTCATGATTCTATGGTCGATATTATGACTTCCCTAACAAAAAATACTATAGTTAACTATAGTTTACTATAGTTAACTATAGTAAATCAAAGTGTCAAAGTTTTCGTCAAAGTTTTTCAAAGTGTCAAAGTTTTCGTCAAAGTTTTTCAAAGTGTTAAAGTTTTCGTCAAAGTTTTTCAAAGTTACAAAGTTTTCGCCAAAGTTTTTCAAAGTTACAAAGTTTTCGCCAAAGTTTTTCAAAGTGTCAAAGTTTTCACCAAAGTTTTTCAAAGTTTTTCAAAGTGTCAAAGTTTTCGACAAAGTTTTTCAAAGTGTCAAAGTTTTCGACAAAGTTTTTCAAAGTGTCAAAGTTTTCGACAAAGTTTTTCAAAGTGTCAAAGGTGTCAAAGTTTTCGCCAAAGTTTTTCAAAGTGTCAAAGTTTTCGCCAAAGTTTTTCAAAGTGTCAAAGTTTTCGACAAAGTTTTTCAAAGTGTCAAAGTTTTCGACAAAGTTTTTCAAAGTGTCAAAGTTTTCGATAAAGTTTTTCAAAGTGTCAAAGTTTTCGATAAACTTTTTCAAAATTTCAAAGTTTTTGATAAACTTTTTAAAGGTTAACGTATCCAAGTTTTCGATAAAGTTTTTCAAAGTATCAAAGTATTAGATAACGTTTTTCAAAGTATCAATGTTTTCGATAAAGTTTTTCAAAGTATCCATGTTTTCGATGAAGTTTTTCAAAGTGTCAAAGTTTTCACCAAAGTTTTTAGAAGTATCAAAGTTTTCGTCAACGTTTTTCAAAGTGTCAAAGTTTTCACCAAAGTTTTTCAAAGTGTCAAAGTTTTTCAAAGTGTCAAAGTTTTTCAAAGTGTCAAAGTTTTCGCCAAAGTTTTTCAAAGTGTCAAAGTTTTCGCCAAAGTTTTTCAAAGTATCAAAGTTTTTCAAAGTGTCAAAGTTATCACCATATTAAATCAAAGTTTTCAAAGTGTCAAAGTTATAACTATAATTAACTATAGTTAACTATAGTATTTTTTTGTTAGGGTTTGTCAGCATATGCAACCTATCATCAAGTCGAATGCTAAATGGTGTGTTCTACGTCATTATTTACACGCTTATTTGTCTACGGATTTTTACGTTTTCCCGGCCATAAGGAACACACGGCGGATGTGTCGGGCAACAAGGGATGCTTACTCCTTCATGGCACCTGATCCCACCTCTGATGTTTTAAAAGGCCCATGTTTGCTCTGCTCCCCATTCGTTTTATTTCAGTGGACTTTTGATCTGAATGACTATTTAAACTGTTCATCATATTCATATTCCATAAATTTATAACAAGCAACATATTACTCTGTGTACATTTTATTTAAATATAAATACATGAAATAGTTCGTTGTTATTCTTCTGCAAGGCATCCTGAAGTAAAAATGGAAAAAGAAAGAAAAATAACAATGTAAGATAGTAAGAAAAAAATAGATCCAAGGTTTATCAGGTGGGGGCTGTTTATTGTTTAATTAGCCTTGTAATTCATTTGAATCTTGACGAAGTTCTGCTTGGATTTTGGCTTCTCAACTTTTCATTCTCTGAAAAAGAGAAAATAAAACCAAATCTAACTTCAGACTATATGTGAATGAATCATTTGTTGTTGGTTTATTAGTGTGTTTTTTTCCTCAGAATAGAATCTTGACTGCCATTCTGTCTATTTACTAGTAGCTGATTATGCAAACTGAACGTTAAGTAACATGTCAGCTTGTCAGATGAACTACTGAATCTTAATTTTTCAAGATAACGCAATAAAATTTTTGATTCAGTATTTTCATGCATAGCGTCTGAGGTAAATTACTTGACACAAAGTATAGGAAACAAAATTGAGTCGGTTAATAATCAAATCAATACATATTTATTTATCAGACATATCCTTACCTCTATGAATGAAATCTTGACTCATAAACGTCTTGTCCTTTGACCTTTGAAGATGCATGGTGTGGTGATAAAAGTCCCAGTGTTCCATTATTTTACCGTAAATATCCCTAGGAAAGTAGTGTAGATCCATATGCAGGTTCAATTGGTTCTTACTGAAACCAGCTAGTGACAACAAAGTTGACATTTCAGCGCAGGTAAAATCACGGAGTTTATTCTCCATCTGCTGATCTGGATCTTTGGCAAACTCGCCGTAGAAATCCACACATTTTGATCTTATTTTCTGAACGGCGAATCCAAAATCGGTTCGAAGTGACGTAGCGAAGTTAAGAGTTTCGATGACGAATTTATGAATGACGTCATCGGTCATGTTGCGAAGGTGTGACGTCGTTTTGACCAAACCATTTACGAAATCTGCAAGATGGGTGTTCATGTCTGATTTGTCGGCCATGACGTTTGACATCCGGGTCACTGCTTGGAAATCGGAGTTCCAGTGCGGATGCTTCATGTGGTCAGCGATAGCCTGGAAAAGTTCAGAGAAGACTTTCTCCTGTTCCTCGAGAAAAATGGCTGGATTCGCCAGAACTCTCAGTCTTGCCCACTTCTTTTTTCGGACATCTGAAACAATACAAAACCGTTAAATATAATTAAGAAAAGGAGAGAAATGCAATTGAAAAGACAGAAGTCGAATCTGGTTCCCTGAAATCGGCACATGTTCTATGACAACGAACCAATGAGTCTAACAGCAATCGAGCATTAAACATTGATTATACATATATGTCATTGCAGAATTTGTACTCGAACGTTCAACAGGGGATGGTTACTTCTCCAAGGCACCTGCCCCCTCCCTTTTCAAAACAAGGGAAATTGAGAAAATATCATAGAAAAATTACATTAACCTTTTTGATGTTAGATTAATTTACCTTTTCCAACTGCTTTTATATCAGACGTTCTTTTCTCTATGTACTCTATCGCTCTTTCATCAATTTTCCGGAAAACATCAACAAGAACGTCGTATTCTCCAACTTTTATATATCCCTTTCTCTCCAGATATGCTAAATCTCGCGTGGCGTTGCAATCCTCGTGAATTGGCAGATTGCAGAAGTTCCGGCGGAAGTAGGTCTTCCATTTTGCATAGTTTCTTCCGCCATTGTATGACCTATTGAGGTAACCATTGGCAACGGTGTCTTTTAGGTTGTTGTGAATGTCAATTCGTATGCTCCTGTATCTAGACCTAAAAAATCAAGATATTTTGAAAATAGAGAGTTCTACTTTTTATAACAAGGGTCCCTCTTTTACCACGTTTTTCTCTAGACTTTTTTCAATCAATTCTTTTGGTTAAATCTACAATTCTACATAATAAATAGCTGTGATACATGTAGTAAAAACTTTAAATGTTTCCTAATCCTAGCTATTGGAGTATTCAGATATTGACCTTATGATTTTTACTTGGGGTTTTTGTTTGTTTGTTGTTTGACTTCCCTCTCGAGAATGTTTCACTCATATGGAGGCACTACCAGGTGACGGTGGAGAGCTGCAAATTTTTTTTACCTATGCTTGACACCTAGGGCCATTTAGCATTGAGGGATATTTTCGTGCCAGCACCTCAGTTTATACGATCTCCTCTGAGCTAATATCTTCAGAAACAATTTTAAATTCAGACATGAACACGCTAAGATGGTCATTTAGGGTATAATTTTAATGTGATCATGTCTAAATTAAATGAAAGTTAAAAAAAACGATACGATTCTCAGGGATTTTAAACATTCAAGGGTTAAAATTTGACTTCCTATATGCAAACATCTTAGGAGTACGTGGAGTTAACTTTGTTCATTTTAAACAATAATGATCATTTGCGTCATAAAAGTAGGGGACACGACAAAAAGCAGACATGTTTTTTAACAGTGGCAGACGACATCCCATTGTTTGGTATCAATTGAGACGTTTTACACCTCCTTATCAGATGACTTCATGTTTTTGACAGGGCCACATACAACAAGTACAAAAGTACGCGGCCTTGATTTTTTTTAACTTAAACTTGATCCCACAAATGTTACATGAAAAGCATGTTCAGCAGTTTTCGTCCTTTTTTATTTTCTTGGCTCCAAAAGACCTGGACTGAATTACACTTGGTACTTAATTCTTAATTTCAATGAACGTTAACTTTTATATCAATCATCAGTTAATAAGCATACATGTATTTCCAAAATGTTCATTTTTTCTCTTTCACTCAACCTGGAAGCTTGTAAATAGATGCTACTAATGAGATTATATGCGTTATTGGAGCCAACTTTTCAACCGTTATTTGTGGCTTTAGTTGCTTTCGAGAATTTTTCACTCATATGGAGACGCCGCCATTTGCCGGAAGAGAGTGGCAAATTTAGACCTATAATCGGCACTCAGGACCATTGAACAATGGGGAATCTTTTTTCAAACCAGCTCCTACTGCGACAGGGGACCTCGGTTTATACGGTCTCATCCGAATGACCGGTCTCCATGTCCCACAGTGGGATTCGAACCCACGACGTAAGGATCAACTCCTTATTTCCCAACTCTATAGAGAAGATGCTCTAACCACTGCGCCACGCGGGCGACATGAATTGGAGACTTTCCAGGATCTCGTGAATTCTAGATTTATGGTTATAAAATCAATCTGTTTCTCTCTTTCTCTTATCCATTCATAACTTTATATTGAAATTGTTCTATGTACACAGAATGCTGTTCACCAAATAAAGAATATGGAAATGTTTTATCTTAATTGATCGAGAGATACATGCTATATAGGTGTTTTATGGGACTCATCATTATTATTAATTATACACCTTATCTCTGTTTCAGTCGAATTAGATATGGTCTATCAAATACGATATGAACCAGAAAACGTTATTTACAAAACCCCTAAAATGAAAAATACCAAAAATCTAATAATTTACTTGAATATTTGTAAAAAATAAATAAATAAAAAAAATTAATAAAAAATAATTAAATATATTCTAATATTTAAAAAAAAAATGTTTGAAAAGCAAAAGCAAACACTTACATATTTTCCTCAGTTGTCCATTCCCAATCAAATTATAAAACAAAAATGACAGTTAAATTATTTAGTTGATATCAAAAACAGAATCCAAGGAGCCTTGGAAGTCTGTATATTTGAAAAATGCCAAAGCTTCCATACCAACAGCCAACAATGACAGACAACTGACACGGGGGTCGACCTGGCACTTTGGAGAGAAAAAAGACATAGCTATGACAATTGATGACCCCACTCTGAAGATACTGTGGTGATTTAAAACACACACGGCTGTACAAATGGTCTGCACAAAGAAGAAACATTTAACAGATTGAGTTATCTGATTATCTATGTTGACACAAGCTTCTGTGTGCAAATTTACTGATCGGGCTGACAACAAAGAAAAACCCTCGGGTTCGGGATTTTAAATCCTGGTGACGGTCTTTGCAAAAAGCTCTAAAATCTCTTGCATTGGTTTGGAACAACTGCAAGGTGTCTTAGTGCATTAATTTAATTCTTTATTAAACAAACGAATATTTAGAGAAAAATAAAATAAATGAAAACGTATAAACCTTTTTCAGAAAGCATTATTAAAATGAGGTCATGGTTCTTGCACTAACGGAACTACAATGTATTCTTGCTCATTAATTTGGATATTTCTTTTCTGATTTTTTTCCCTTTGGGTCGATTCTCTCTAAAATTTTGACTTCTCCAATATAACTGGAAAATTTTTGACAACTTACTTAAACCAAGGAAAGTGTAGGTTGATTCCCTAACAACAGAGGGGAATTAAGCGGAGTGATATCCGTAAGTCAGAGTAAGGAACGATATTTTGAAAAGAAAAGTGTAAGAGTATTCAGTTCTTAAATCAAATTAATGTGTCATTATCCTCTAGTGCAGATTTAAATTCATGCAAATTGTGCATGGTTTTTGGGACTATTTTGGTGCCAAAGAGGAGGGGATCAGGTGTCATGGAGGAGTTAGCATCCCATATCGAAGGGCCAGCCCCGCCATGTGTTCCTTATCATGATGGGGCAAGGGGAGAAATCCGTAAAAGCGTGTAATTTAGTTTGTAAATAATGACCTAGCAATTAATATGTAAAACATCTTATAATAAGATTTCAAAAAATATTTATTCCCGACTTATCCTGAATGACCCACTTTTAATGCGGAATAACTTGATTAAGGGATATAACTAAAACAAGGGCACCGCAAAGCAGAGCGCCCCCTCGTATTCTTCATCGATCCCCATGGATGTTACGTCACTTCCGTTTTGCAATGGGACACACTAACTCCACTTACACACATGCAAGTTACTATATCTCCTCCAATTCCGTTGTGAAAGGCCAAGAGTAACTTGCTCAATGGCCAAACTATTGTAGTGTAGTTAATTTTTTAAGGTTCACTGTAACTGTTCTTCTAAGAGAAATAACTCTTACGACTTTTCTAGCAATTTTTGAATAAAATGTTTACGAAACTGAATAATTTCTATCAAAATCCGCTATACACACGGTGTGCTAAAGATTTTTGCATTTCAATTATTATACAGTCTGTTTCTTTGGAAAAATCGTTGGCGTGAAAGCAAACTTTTCATCATGTATAACCCAAAAAGTTGTCGATGATGCAAGATGCGACTTGATTTTGTTGTTTTTGTTAATTACCAGAAAAGTCAATGTATTGGCTAAGAAGAAATTTTATATGGCAAGCGGTAAAATTGCTGACCACAGGTTGATTTTCTACCTCTAAAGGTGTCATTTTAATTACTTGATATATCTGAATAATATATTTTCATAGAGAACTAATAGAGAAACGTTTTCAAGGAATATTCATTATTTTCTCAACTATTGTTGCTTGTGTAAAGATCTCTTTGATAGATCATTATAATAATACATGTATATAGAAATCCCAAAGTCAGCGTCAATAAGATGCTATGAAAACATTTCTCATAAATTAGCATTAAATATTAACGTAATAAAGTTTAAAGAAAAATCATTAAAAGTCATGTTTAATTTCAACTCAAATGTTTTGTGGATAAGTATACATGAAAACAGAATACAGACATATTCTCATAGTAAATCAAATTTATTACATGTGTATCACCAAAAAATATGCTATCAAAGAATTAACAATAATATGATTGACCAATCACTAATTATTTCACATGTTCGAATTTGTTAAATAAGTAGCGATTGGTTCACAACATAGCACGCTCTCCCAGGTTGCAATAACAAGACGTAAATTATTTACTCTAGGAAGTTTACAAAAAATATTTTTGTCTTGAAGGTCACAACAAAGCGCATTTAAGAAGACCACAAATAATGATTGATAGCATCGAATTTAGCTTTCCAACTCATAAAACTCAATCTGATCACAAATTAGTTGTTAATTAAGAAATCATTAATTATTGCCATTTCCTTGTATCTGTAGGACCTCCTGCCTTTTTCTCAGTCTTTTGAGCTCTTTGTTTTCCTCGTATTTCCTGTAGAAGATATAATTTATTAAGTTCAATGAAAATTTAAACAAAAAAAAAACAGAATCGCTGTGTAATTGCCACACAGGGGCAGGTAACTTTCTGTGCTTGATTTCATACGAAAAATAATGTATATATTCTAAAACAAAGTCTGTACATACATGTTATTTAGTCTTCACGTAAAATCAAGCAAAGTATATTAGGTATTCTTAATTGTCCTTCTGGTTATTTCTGGCTTGACCTTATGGTGAGGTTTCTAAGCAGTATCACCGGGTCTCATTTTCGACTCACTAACTTTTCTCTTTTTTTAAAAAAGATATGAGTCTTAAAAGTTGTAATCCCATGAGAGAATGTTGGAATTTCTAGTTCTTACAACTATCCCAACCTTTCTCCCATTGGACAAAGAGTGTCAGATAGGATATTTTCTCCAACTGGGAGTTATCTCTCTTTTCAGAAGGGTAATAAACCTTAAAATACTTACCTGGCAAAGTACATGGAACCACAGACTGTCACAAACAGGAACAACATGGCAGCCATTCCAGACAGGAAACCGGAAGTGAATTCTCCTAGTGATCTATGGGAATCAGTCGAAGTTTCTGTAAAAAAAAAAAAGTGTAAAATTGCAATTGCAAATGTTATGGGCAAGGTTTTGCTGACAAACAGACAGACAAATTGGGAAGTCCGTTGTGCATACATTATACACAACAAATACTTATATTTCCATTTATTTTGAAATAAAATTGTCAATTTAGATTTTAAATTTGTTGTCTAATAAATTTAAAGTACACGAGGCCACCCATGTCAATTTCAATAGTCTCCACCCACTGATGTCAGACTCAAAGACAAACGTACTCAAGTTGTAAGATCTACATTATATTTGGCCTCCACAGCCCCTGACCTTTTGCTTGCCGAAATTTACATTCCGGTTGAATAATCAAGAAATCAACTCACCTAACTTTAAAAGAGATATCACAGAGAAAACAATTATAGAAATGCAAATCTTCAGACCTCAATAACAAAGATAAGTATTAAGTAATTCATTTTCTCATATATTCTTTTTTTTTTAATTTCGTTCAAAACATCAGTTGATTTTGACCTTTTTCGAGATTTTTTTTTATTTTGTGTGCTTGAGAAGACAGGTTAGCTAGGGTCAGGTACATCGATTTCATCAGAACATATTTTTACAGATAACTTTTTGATAATTTTTGTGTATTATCCAACAATTTACAGATATGTGAAATCATAATTTATTTTTTAAGGTGGCAGGGGACATTTTTTTTCTCATGTGCAGGTTACTACATGTATAATATATTCCCACCAACTTCATTTGCAGGGGGGTAATTATTCGTCCATACTTGTATCACAGAACTGGCTGGAAAACAATTGTGAAATGTCCAATGTAGTACATAAAAAAATCACCAAGGTCGCACAAGGTAATTGGTATACAATGAAAGGTCTTGCCACAAAGAATACTTATAAGAGAGCTGGTATGGTCGCTAATTTTTTTAAAGTGCCATTAGTTCTTGTTATCAAACAAGGTCTTGTCACAAAAAATATGTAAAGTATGAAAACAGCCCTAATCCTGTCAATTTTTGCTGTAGTCAACATCTAGATTGGTATCCAATAGAGGGTCTTCTCACAAGGATTAAATATTTGAAGTACGAAAGCCCTATCCCTTTCCATTCAAAAGTTATGGCCAAGGTTAAAGTTTTTTCACAAGTGCGGAAATCTACAAGGTCAAGGTCAAAAGGTCAAGGTTGTTGGTATCCAATGAAAGGTCTTTTAACAAAAAATGCATATGTGAAGTATAAATGTCCTGGTATCTACTCTTCCAATGATATGGCCACAGTAAAAGTTTAAAATTTTCATGTAAAAGTGGGTCAAACTCCAAGGTCAAGGTCAAACAGGTCAAATTTGATGGTACCCAAAGAAAGGTCTTGTCACAAGGAATACACATGTGAAATATGAAAGTCATGGTGCCACCTAATCAAAAGTTATGGGCAAGGTTAAAGTTTTTGCGGACAAACAGACAGACAGAGAGACAGACAGACAGACAGACAGACAGGGAGACAGACAGACAGAGAGACGGACGGACAAAAACTATATACCCCCGAAACTTCGTTTACGGGGGCATAAAAATACGGCAATTTCCTTAAAGAGTTTTGAACTCTTTGATTTGCAATCATTGGTCAAATTGAATACGTGGTAAATAAAAGCAATGTCGGATAATTCAGTCAAGTGAGTATAAAATCAAACTGAGATGAAAACATGTGAAAAGACAATGAATGAAGATTACTGTAATATGATATCTTCTAAACCAGTTACGTCTGCGTAAATATGTTGCTTTTGTAGATTTAATATGTGGAATTCATCATGTGCGCAATGCATGCCGATGAAATTTGAAGCAAGATGACTTAATGTATGTGCAAATAACCGATAATCAGTCTGAGAGACATAATTTGTGTCTCTGATAAAGGGAATGAAAAATTCTCATTTTCTTATCCAAAACTCTTGTAAGCTAAATAAAAGTACTTGACTAAAATGCATTGAGATAAAATTTAACGTACCTGTTGCACAAAACTGCAATAAGAGAAAAGACGTCCATATTGACACTACCAGCATCCTGTGTCAAATTTTACCACCGGACATCTGTATGTTTTCTATTTCCGTGTCTTCTGCAAAGCTTTTGCTCATTAAACGGCATGCAAACTTTTTAAACTGCACAGCAAGAAAAACATATCTCTCTTTGCTGCAGCTACACTAATAAAAATACTTGAACCTATAGAGAGTGTAGGAAATAATTAAAACGAATGAAAATGATTTGCTATGGAGGGGAAATAGCGCGCGGCATCTGTGTTGATTCTTTGGGAGATGTATATATTCATGTAAGCATATCATGTAATACGATGAACTGTAGATAAAGGAAGAAGACACCAGTGTTAGATAGATATATAGGAATATTAACCAGAATTCCATCCTACATGAATCCGATGTTTTGTAATAATCCTGTCGAAGCAAGATACGGAGACGTGTACTTTGTTTGCTTACAACGCATTCGTTCAGTGATGAATTATGCGCGCGGATCTAACAAAAGATTAAGTTGAAGAACATATGATCCACATTGGTATTGATTGGTTTCATATGAAAAGCATAAAAAAGCATCATATGTGAATCATATAAAGTAATTCATATAATTCACATATGATTCAATTGAAAGCTTTTCATTTTCATTAATAGTGTTCAAAAGCTGCAATGTTCAAACTACATGATTTACAGGCTTTTTAAATATCCATAGTACAATTAAAAGTAAAGTTATATAATTGAAAATGCCGACTTATGGGGGGGGGTGATAATAAGCGGAGAGCAAAGCAACTAAAAATACAATTGAAAGGCTAAGTCCGATTTCCAATGTCTAAATTACTTTAGTATGACTCTTTACCAAAAAGTGGGCGGGTCCGATTTCCAATGTCTAAATTACTTCAGTGTGTCTCTTTACCAAAAAGCCCCCCCCCCCCCCCCCCCCCTTCACAATTTCGATGCCTATGAATTAACGTGAGATAAATACACGTATACAAGAATAATCAGCCAAAACGCATTTGTTCAGTAAATTATTATGCGCGCGGATCTTAAAAAAAGATTGAGGTGAAGAGGAAATTAATATATAAGTCCATACGCAGTAGACTGTCCAACAGACATTTAATGGTCCAACTAATGTATAGAAGAAAGAAAATTACGTTTGTTTGTATCAGGGACTGAGTTTTTGAAATCAACTGTCTTTTGTAAAATCAATTCATTTTTGAGCACGTCTTGTAAAGTTATTTTTGAATTAAACGCCCGTAGCTATATAGTGTCAGGAGCAGATTTCTGCACTGTTCTTTTGAGATACCAGCATTTTCTTCAATTGTCTTCTTCACACAATTATTAATTATTCGTACTTCATTCAGTGATAATCCACGAATGTTCACCGTCAATGATACATGTAAGGCTTCTTATCAAGACAGAACGCCAACAATTGCAATTGATAGCTACAGAGTTTTGCCCTTAAAACAAAGTCGCAAAAACATAACAACAATGAATGCTTAAAGAATAACTCTGTCGCATTACATAACAAAATTACGACACGAATTAATTTTTTTTATTTCTATGAGGTTCAAGGAAAGGTACAGTAAGGCCTCTAATCACAAAATAGATAATTATGATATCTGTGATAGATAATATAAAACAAATATGGCGATTACACTGTATATAAAATATACAGTACAATCATTTACTCCCGAACCTTATCAAAAATTCATGTTTTTCCAAGGTGCATCTTTTTCTTCACGTTGTCGTACTGTACAAATCGCTTTTTATTCAAGTGCTTAATTTTTTTCGCGAATATAAGTCGGCACGAATAGATTTCAAACCGATGAATTGCAAATAAAAGGTAGTTGTTCTAAAGTACCATTTTGTACGAATCTGTTCTTTTCTCCTAATCTCTGTAAATTAACGTCCTTTTTTCACTCATATGGCGATTTCGCTATCGGTAGAGAACTGCAAATTTTGACCTATGTTGGGCACTCAGGGCCATTGAGCAGTGAAGGATCTTTTCCGTACCAGCACCTTTACTACGACATAGGACCTCAGTTTAAACGGTTCCTCTAGTGAAAAAAAATGAAATGACGTAAAAATGGCATCGATATCAAATATTTCTTTTAGAAAGATGTATAGGATTATCCCCCGTAATTTTCTTTACACCTTAAGTGGGCCATTCCATCTTAACGTTCTCATTTCCTTTTTGAACATTAGTTACATACTGTTCATCTTCTGCAAATTTCTCATTTTTTCTATTGTAGAACTTTGAATTCATTTTGTGCGCCATTGCTACGTTTGGAGGAAATGTTTAGAACACAAATTCACTAGCCAAAGGATGCCTCCATATCGGAATAAACTAACCATGACTGATGTTCCTCTTCAGGAATTTTAACAAGAGGCCCATGGGTCACATTGCTCACTTGAGTAACTTTGGTGGTGCAGTTCTTTACCAGATTCCCCCTCTTGTTATTACTATTGTGGCCCCCTACCCCACTTCCCTGTCATGATTTTAAAACTTTATCATCTAAACTACCACATTATTCTTCCATATATAAGTGTCAACTTTTCTAGTCCAGTGGTTCTTAAGAAGATTTTTCCTACATATTTCTATGTAAAAATTGGATTCCCTATTGTGGACCCGCCCTATACCCCCCGGGGGTCATGATTTTAACAATTCAGAATCTACACTACCCCAAGATGCTTCCTTGCAAGTTTCAGCTCCACTGGCCCAGTGGTTCTTGAGAACATTTTTAAAGATTTTTCCTATATATTTCTATGTAAAACATGGATATCCCAATTGTGGCCCCGTCCTACCCTCAGGGGTCATGATTTTAAAAATTTAAAATCTACACTACCCCAGGATGCTGACACATAAGTTTCAGCTTTCCTGGCCAAGTGGTTCTTGAGTAAAAGATTTTTTAATGACCCCACCCTACTTTTGTCTTTTCTTGATTATTTCCCCTTGTAAGGGGACTTGGCCCTTCGTTTTTATAATTTAAACTCCACCTCACCCAAGGATGCTTCGTACCAAGTTTGGTTAAAATTGGCCCAGTGGATGCATCACAGGGGGAGGAAAAGGGTTACAACATGTAAACAAAGTTTTATTTTGACCTATATAGGTGGAAATCTTTATTAAAAAAAAGAAATTCTACTCAAGAACATTTTGTGTCCACTGGCGGATTTAGAGAGGGATGCTCCCTCCCCCTTTCGTGTCCAAAATATACGAAAACTTGAATCTGCACTACCTGAGTATGTATATCACTATGACAAATAATTGCTCCTATACTTAGATGTCTTCTTCAGGAGAACAAAAAAGATTTTCCTTTTTATTTTTTTGTCAAACTATAACTTTCTTCACCTCTTTCCTAAAACTCTGACCTGCCCCTAATTGTTTAAATTCCTTTTTCTTCATTCACCCATACCTTTCTTCTCCTCTCCCCAGCTATGCCCCTTTTTTCCTCAATAAAAATAAGACAAGAGTTTATTGCAGTTTGTAATTTATTACTTTCTCATTCAGCAGAGTTAAGACAGAAAATGACCTGGCATACACAATGATCAAATCATACTACATTCTAATGGCAGTGATAGGGGTGAAAGGTCAACAGGCACGGATCTAACATTTCAACAAAATCCGCTCCCCAACAGAAGAAAAAAAAATGTCACCACCATCTTGTATTTATATATAAAAAACTGATTGTGATTATGATGGTCTATACTAAATATATATAAATGTTATCTCTAAAAATGATATGAAAAAAAATTCTAACAAGAAAAAAGTCATGGTTTTATTCTTTATAAACAAAAATTAGAGACAAAAAAAATTTTTTGTTCATACAATCTATGTTTATTTTTCGAAGTATACATGTAGATTTTTTTTTTGGTAGACTTTGGTGTTTCCATCGTAAAATTATTGGGAGTACAAATTCAATGACTGTTACATAATAAATTGTCTTTTTAAGACAACTGTCAATGACCAAGTCAAATAGTGGCATTATCTCCCCAAAAGCTATTAAAATAATTTTTTATATATATATACATACATGTCATTCTTGCTAGCAAGACATTTTACTGTAAGGCCACTGACAAAGCATTTCAATAAATATTTATCACTCATTAATTAATTTACTCTAAAGAATCTGTCAATTGCACCTAAGCAAAAAATACCGTAAGGTAACACAACATGATTTAAACAACCTTGTTCAGATTTTTTAATTAAATTTCACAATTTTTAGCCAATCAGATCAATGACTGTTTAAAAAATCAACCAATCAGATCCAAAATAACATCATTACAAAAACTTATCAATCAATATTTGAAAAACAAGAGAAAATATATGATATTGTTCAAAATTGATACTAGGTAACATCAAAAGGGTTGGTATGTAGAAAAAAATTGATTTTCCGACAAAAACACCAATTATTCATCAACCCTTAAAGAAACTCCACAATGGTGATCCAATGGTAACATACATCTCCCTAAAAACTTATTATTTTCAATATTTGGAAGTGGCTGTATACATATATAAAGCATTTATCAGCAACCTTTGGCTTTATAACAAAATATTCATGTTCATAAAATAGGGAAAAGAGAAAAAAAAAAATCATTCTTAAAAAATGGGTCATCAACTTGCACACGGATGAAAACATGGAAGATTCTTTTTGACATAAATATATTTAATTATATAATAATCATTCAATACATAATGCAATAACTAGAGACTCCAAAACAATTTACCTTCCCTTTCACCAACACAACAGCATAGCTATTTTACTTTTTTTTATTCATAAAAGGGAGGTAACTCTTATTGTCCTAGCTAAGACAGGCACTGGCTTGTATATGTAACAATTCTTAAGGTGCTATGTACATTTATACAAGGGGGATAAATCAGACCATGAACATGGCAATCAGCTGATAAATACCCACTCTTCAACCTAACAACTGATTCCAAATGAAAATTTAGGAAAAGAAAGAAAAAGTAAAATTTCGATCAAAATGTATTTGGCCATATTTGTATTCTAAAATGCAAAATTTGGAAAACTACTCATCTTTTTTCATGATAATCATTGTCAATTTAATTAGATTGGGTTTTTTTTTTAAAACAAAAAAACTTGGCTTGAAGAATTTCTCATGCAAAAGTGTGTGGAAATGAATGAACTATGTACAATGTCAATATTATAAACACTCAAAATGCACCAAGTTAAAAAATAGGTTCATACAGCGTCACAGCACGTGTGACAAATATTGCTCATCAAAAACCATTAGTTTTGGCTCAATTTAATGCTAGGAAATATATTCTTGAACAAAAAAAATAATAACTGTACAGGTCTACATTGTTTTACCGGTACGTTCACTGAAATACCTTATTTAAAACACAACCAAGATCAAAATCAATATTGAATCTGATTCTTTTCACAACCATTTTTAGTTTTTTATTTTCTGAATGAAGCAACTTCCGTATATAAGGAGGCTGCAACTTAAATACAATTTTAGCATTAAATTTTTCCCCTTTTTACTAAAAAACCAGCACTGAGGAAGACTTGAAAACCCTTGAATCAGGCTCATTCATAATTAAGCAATAAATTCTTGAACAAAATTTTTTTAAAAAGCCAAAATAAAAAGGACCAAAAAAATTTACCTTGAATGTTCACAAAAAAATCTTTTTTATTTTTTCACCCTCCGACAAAAGATTAGGCATATGGAAAATCATACTCCTATTTTGAATCATTCAAAAAAACAATTTGTTTCTATGGCAACCGATACATATAAGATAAAAACATAATTAAAAATAAATGTCACTGGCATTCCTGATCAACAGTAAAATATACAAAAAAAAAGTTTCTCTTCCCCGTCTCTGTTGAGATTCTACAAAATGTCACCAAAACAGAATCATCTAGTTACAATTTACTTATCGTCTTCATGTAACCTCAGATTTTAGTCCCAAAAGGAAGGGAGATAACTCCGTCCAACATAGCAACAGTTAGCTCCCTTTCTTAAAATCTCAACAGCAGCACACACATTTTTATTGCTTTTTTTGGTCTTTCTTCCTCTGGTTAACACGAGGGGTTCCCCTGATCGGAGGACATTCGGGACAACATCCCCATATCATTGGAGCAGTGGTCCATGCCGCTTGACGTCAGTCCCATATTGTTCATGCCCATCTCTGAATCCATAGACTTAGCACACTTATTGTCAGAATATTTCATGTGGGATTCCCCCATCATGTAGGGGCTGTTTTCCTGACCCCCAGACAGGTAAGGAAATGCACTGTGTCTGCTGGCAGGGTTATTGTTCATGGATATACCCCCTACCCTCCCACCACATGATGTCATCTGACTCAAAGAGGCAGACCCTAAAATAAAACCACAAACAGGACATAGTAACAATGAGCTGTATTCACGAAAATGCATTCAAAGAGGGTAAAATTTTAAACATGCATTTGACATCAGGAACAAAATGGTTATCATAAATCTGCACTAAAAAATAGACTAAGTTTGAAAATTACTCATGAGAAAAACAGAAAAATACAGCTTGTTTACAGAAGTCCAATAGGTTCAGTACCACCACCAAGGAAGGGAAGTATATATAAAACATGCATTAAGTCCAGAGAGAGGAAAAATTGACCGAGGCCAAAGTCCCGAGTGTTAAGTTTTACCTAGTAAAACTACAATCAGCAGAAGTCGTCCATATCCCCTTCCTCTTGGCCGTACTGACCCGTGGAATAAGGTAGCAACAAGTTGCGTACCTTACCTGATAGAGCCGCTTGCTGGGCGGCGAGGTCTTCGGTCGTCATCCCTCGACTTCCTGGAAGTTCCTCTGTCTTCTCTTCTTCCCTACGTTTTAGACATGCTGCCTTGGGATTGAGATTCCTCTCTAAACAACAGAAAAAGAATCAAGATTTTAAAAATTTTCAAGTGCAAAAAAAGAAGAACTTAAAACGGAGGATAAAATTGTCATGTGTGCCATGTGTTTCCCTATGAAATCTGCAAATTTTTTTTTATCTTATATTTGCATTTTGTGATATATGCTTTTCTTGAGAGTTTGACATGAATTTTCAAATTAATCTGAATCTATTAGCCACACAAAAAGCTTTCCTGTGCATGGCAAAACATGACATCACAAATAACTATTATTCAAGCAAAATAAAATTATCTTAAAATGTTATTTTAAATGATTATCAAATTTCTTTCAATGTCATAAAAATTTTGCAATTCAATATCATTTAATGTTAGAACATCATTTAAAATGTTAGAATTTCATGCAAGTTTTAATATCACTTTGATTGCATTCATGCAATTAATGTCCAATATCAGCAACATCCTCATTTCTGAAATACAAAATAAAACTTGTCAAGGACACACGAGAGAAAGCCGATATCAAGGGAAGATAACTCCCTTAAAACGAATTAAGCAGCAATACCCCCTACTGCTTCATCAACCCCTCATCCCCACCCCCCCTTTCCCTTCTCAAGCACCCCCTTAACCCAACTCACCACCTCCATCTTCAGCATTCAACAATGGCATAGAATAACATAAAATTTCAAAGCAGGAACATGTATGGTTAATATGGTGCACTGTACTGGTTACTGTAATGTGAAGCAGCCACACTCAAGACAACAGATTAATCAACCGATTAAACAACTCGACAACTAGGCATATGAATTCCCCTCTCATAACCGACAACTAATGATTTTTCATTGAAAAACGGGTGCATGATGCAATATGTATAACTAGCTGGCCGTAGTGAATGAATCATTAATGCATATGGAGCATTACACCTAATTACAACTAATACAAAGCAGAAGAATGACATGTAATATGTAATGTAATATGTTATACGTAATGTAATATGTAATACGTGTTCGACACCAACCTCTCACTTGGTGCTCAAGGGAGGTAATTACATTTACGGCATGTTGCAAGATCATCAGCTTGGTTAATGGTTGACTGGTCCCAGAATGCAATGCCACCATCTGCCCCAGTTCTTTGAACGCGTCATTTATATCTCTCACCCGAATCCTGCAAAAACCGTAACACAGGAAGCATCAGCCTACTGCCTAATATTAGGTTTATTGCCAGTGATGCAATCTTTTGTGTACAGAGTTGTCCACCCTTGATAACCAGCAAAGTCTCTCTATTTCTCTCCCTAACTCCTCCAGTCATGAGGGAAATGGGGAAAAAATTGGGCAATGCACAAAATGAATTTATAAAATATTTCTCCCATTTCCCCACTTAAAAATTTTTATTCCCATCTTTTTACCCCAAATTCTATCAAAGGTGCTAAAGGGGGTGTACAATTCAAACAAAGGAAGTTAACTCTGCATTGCTGTTTGTTCCCCATTGCCCCCTTGACCCCGTGTCCTTGACTCTGAAAATAAAATCCTGTGTGAATGTAAGGGGCGCCAGTACCGACCTCTCACTTGCTGCTCCAGGTTCGTTATAATGTTTACTGCATGCTGGAGAATCATTAGCTTGGTTAAGGGCTGATTAGACCCTGATTGCAGGGACACCATTTCACCAAGCTCTTTGAAGGCCTCGTTTATGTCATGTACACGGATCCTGAAAATCAGAAAATCTGGTCAATTTTCACCTTAAACTTAACCTTTCACCCCTGGCTTTCCCAAATGTTCAGCATTCACCAATTTTTCCCAAAACCACCATCCTCAACGTTTTCCACCAAATATTAATTTATGCCTTTTAACACTTGTCAGACTATATCTTGCTATCAATTTCTAGTAATTTTGTAAAACTTTTCAATTAAGACTAAAGAACTTGTCTGAATAACACTGCTTTTGCCCTTGGTGTTTTGTTAAAGGATGTTGCCTTTGGTGCTCTGGTGAATGTTTGACCTTGAGGTTGCCAGGTGACCTGTGACCTCCTCACCTCTGACCTGCTGTTCTAGAGAGGATATGACATGAACAGCGTGCTGGAGTATCATCACCTTGGTCAGGGGCTGGGTGGACCCTGATTGTAGCGCCACCATCTGACCCAATTCTTTGAAAGCCTCATTAATGTCACGCACCCGAACTCTACATGGACAAATTACACAGATACAATAGGCTCTTGTATGCAGCTTATTGAGAGACAGAGGCTCAAAATCTTTTTATACATATGGGTTCAAAAACACATCCCCCCTCCTTGAAATGCTTGATTCTGATTCTATTTTCTTAAAGTTTTAGCCTTCATAGGTCAAAGTATCCACATAGAATAATCTTTCATTATATGTTATCATCTTAAATGCCTTTGCTGTCTATAAAATTAGCCCCTTGCAGAAATGTACAAACAACAAAGTTAAGTACATAAGTTTTAAAATGCAACTATTTCTCAATCCCACATAAACAGGACAAAAACATTTCATAAATTTAGCATTCCTTTGAAACTAAATCTTTTTTAAAGAAAATTTAAAAGATACTGATTTTTTCAAAGTTTTTTCACCATACTTTCATAATTTTCCTCAGAGTTTTTTTTTTAATACAAAAGTTGATTTATTCATAATGAAAAGCCAGTTTTACCTTTCTCTGGCGTTGTTGGCTTGACGTCGAACTTTCTCCCGCTCGGCCTTGGTCTCGGGTGATTCGTCCTCGTCGTTGGGTTCACTCCTTCTATAACAACATATAGACATTTATACATTGTATAAAGACATACAGACATTTTATACACTGTATAAAGACATACAGACATTTTATACACTGTATAAAGACATACAGACATTTTATACATCAAATCAAATAATTCCTAACCAACTGCTCATTTAAATTGATCCAAGATCAATATTCAACTTGAGGTTTTGAAAAACAAAATGGAACTTATAAAATTTCAGAAGATCACCACACAATTTTTCTAAAAACATTTTTTTAAATCTTTCTACTTTGCCTAGCAGTGTGTGACCAATATAGATATCAAATTCTTTTCCAGTCTATATCTACTTCACTTTTATCCTTAGATCCCCTCCTCTACTTACCGTGATCTCTTACTGGGGGGCCCATTGCTGCCCCCTGGTGAGGTCACGTTGCTCTTTGACCCCTCCCCGGAGCTGTCCCCCTTGTTTGAGTCCCCGTCAATCTTGTCCAGTTTCTCCTCCTTCAGAGCCAAGTTATTTTTCTCTGAGGAAGCACCTGCATAAAAAAATGGAGAATGGTTACCTCCCTTTACATGTGAGATGAGCCTCCTTAAGCTTGTGTTTCCAAGCAAATTGTCCAGAGTAAAAGAATCCAGTCCATATAGTTGATATGTATAGCTATTATAAGTAGATATCTAAACTTTTTTTTTCTCCAAAAATCTTGACATAAAATTTAGTCTACAGAAGAAATGGCATCTGGATTTTCAAAGAACCATTTTATGCAAGTTTACCGCTTTCATTAATCCGACATTTTTACTTTTTAATCATTACTTCCTAAACATCCATATATCTTGCAAAAATTAATCCTCTGGCAAGACTTAGATATACTTTTTTAATTAAATATTTTTTAATATGCTTAGTAAATCAACCTGAACTTGTGATAAGCGGAATGCATGTAAATCAAAACACGTAACACTCACCATCTAAATTTTTGGGCTCTGAATTCTCAGACATACTGTGGTGACTCCCCTGAAAAATGAAAACACAGAACTAAATAAACTTGTTTTCCACAAATATACCTCCAACACTACTGATGCCTTTTTTTTTAACAGCATGGTAAATATTAAAATCTAAAAATTCATTTTACAAAAAATTTCATGTTAGGATTTTAAGGAACCTGAACATTTTCAGTGTAAGAATATATCTGACATTTATCTATGAATAACAAATCTGGTCCATTTATTTTAAAAAACACACTTCTTGATGTTATAAATCTTGTTTTCAGATAGTGATTTTTCTGCCATTTGTTTTGTTCTGACAGATGTGAAAAACAGCATAATGCCTGCAAACTCGACATCTGGGAAATCTTTGACATCACGGTTTTTTTTTTATCCTTCCCAAACTCTTCATGCTTCACTTGTTCTCTTGTTTCATTATTTAGAACCAAAAAACTTCCCTCCATCAGAGAAAAAACTTGCCTAACATTTTAAAAATACCACATGTAGCAGAAACACATCTTCACTGATAAGCTCTCCAGCAAATGGAGGTAAGAAAAGTATAGTAGCATGTGTTGTACCTCAAAGTTGATGACATAACCATTTCTTGTTTATCTGTTGAATGCATTCTTAAAACTTGTAATGCAAAGATACACATATTCCACAATATGTATGACATTCTTTCCCAGCAAGAGTAAATTGTTTGGCAGATCTACACAATTCTTTCATACATGGAGGTAAAAAAAACCTCTAACCTTTATAATCTTTCAAAAATTGACAATTGATAAAAAAATTTCTGTTAAATTCTATAAATAAAATTGAACATTTATGCACCTGAATGAATACATGTGCATGTATGCACCTTAAAAAACTAATATTAAATTATCAGATAATTTTTTTTTTAAACAAAACTTACAAATGGCCAAACTCTCTTCAAAGATCCATACATATTGCAGGAAGAAATGCCAAAGAGATTTTCCTTCAACATTATGAATTGAAAATTCTGCAATTCAACTTCTCACTTGTATGCAACACTCTCCCTAAATGGAAACTAGTGCCCAACAAAGTTTGCCAGCAGCCTATATACACCAAACATGCCAACAGTTTTGATGGATCACTAATATTAATTAACATTCAATTCAAATCAGGAGTCAAAAAAACAAGGTCATCAAACTGCAAAAAAACAGTAAAGGTCTATTTCCTCCCAAATACAATTTATAAACATATACCAGCATGCTTTTACATGGCCGCTCATACTAAGTGCGGATACGGGGGTGGTATAATTAAGTAGACTTAATTAACGAGCCATCAATCTAGGATCAAAGAGAGTTATTAGAGTATTTTAATTCTGGCGCCTGACATTTTTCTATGGAATGGAATCAGTTCCAAAGTTAGGGTCTGTATGACATGGACAGTGTGATCTTGGTTTGCCTTGATGACATTTAGTCAGTCACCATTTTTTAATCACTGTTGTCAAATGCAGAGATTCTTAATCTGGATTTAGTTCTAATTAAGTACAGTTAATTATAATTTCTTAAAACATTTTGTTAATTTTTTTCTTGCTGCAGATACAAATGAACAAAGATTCATTTACATATGATGTGCAATAAATTTTAAAGTGTGTCTTTTTCCATTACAAACAGAGAATGTTTAGTCGCCAGCTAGGAATAAAAAATAAGAGTGCACTTAAAAAACCCACTCAGGATTTCCAAATGTGAATGTTATTCAATAAATCTCTTGACATTTAATTTGCATTAAATGATTTTTTTCTGAAATCAGACCAAAACTGCAGGAGGTGTAGCATTTGTTCAGAGAAATTTCTATTTTAAAAAAAAGGCTTTATACATTTCAATGAGTAGGAATAATTTTCATCATCTAAAAAATACACAATGAAATAAAATATTTATAAAAAAGAAAAAATATTTGAATGATTAAGGCAACACCATTTTCAAAGCAATTCAGAGAAATTTCTATTTTTAGAAACCACGGCAACACATCGAAATCAAAAATTGATATTTTGGCTGCCCTTTGTGTATATGCCAAGTTATGAAGCATTTTGAAAGTAGTTATTTCAGTAATAACCATAGAGAATATTTCTTTAATCAGAAAATATAAATTATTAACACAATAATAAAACGAATCTTTCCACCAGATGTACTTTGTTCACTTAAGGAAAGCAAACACCTTAATATTTTCAACCACAGATTCATTTGATCCTATATTTCCATGTTTTATTATGCATTTTCAAACCTCAAAGTCTCATTAAAATACCTCAAACTGTCAAATTCTTTTTTTTTTCAAATAAAACATCTGTAAAAAATACTTTTTCCTGAACTTATAGTATTTTTTATCAATGCAGGAAGGCTTCCTACACTAGAACAGCAAAATGTGACAATTCTAGAATTTTTTTTTCACCACACCAGCAAAACATCAAGAAATTCAAGTCCACACATGCTTAGAAAATTCTTTAAGATCTATGTCGTGGCCCATATTTTATGAAATAACTTATGACTATGACCAAAAGTTAATTATCTTCATAATTAATTTTTTCATGTTGATATTATTGTGATTATAATGCAATAAAAAAAAATCGGTAAACAAAATTTTTTTCAGTATAATCTTACACACTAATACAGTAATGAAAATTTTAGAACTAAATTAAAATTTTAAACTAAGTCGTGAAGTTCTTCTGTAAAATCTGGCATCAGGATCATGAAACAAACTTAGACTTAAGTCAGATTTTCAATTGCCTATAAAATATTTATTAATTAAGGAATCTATTTCTAAATTTGCAGAAAAAAAAACACCTCTGTGAAATAATATTGAATTTTTTTTTATTTTGGACTGCTTGACTTCTACAACATTTTATTATCAAATAGAGATTTTGACTTAAGCTTAAGATGTTTTATGATCCTGGGGCCTGGGCCCCATTAAGAAATTACGGAATGAACTTTGGTAGTAATGAAGATTGTTTATATTTGAATAGATTTTCAGTAAAATTGTCTTTGTTTATTTAACATGATTTTATTTTTTTTGGCCAATAGGTAGCCAATTCTAGACCGGTGCTTACCACCTAAACGGATTTCCTTACCATTTGGTCCACATGACCTGACAATCCAATCCCTGGGTAACTGGACATGCCACTCATGCCATTCGGGTGGTTACCACCAGAGTGCATCATGGACAGGTTTTGGTGGCCCCCACCTGCTGCTGCTGCTGCTGCCGCTGCAGCCAGGCCCGCCATCTGTGGTTCTCCCGCGTGGTGACGTAAAACGTGAATAGCATCATCCAGTCTCTCCTCCATACGACTTTGCTGAAATTAAAAGAATATTATTGTCAGACTAATACAATGCAAAAATTCAAAAAAAAACTTTTTAAAAAAATTGTAGAAAGGTTTTGGAAGAGAAAAAGTCCAACTCCAATAACCTGAATCAAAGGGAGAAAACTCATTTTTTTTTATTTCAAAGGGAGAAAACTCTTCTTTTTTGATTTCAAAGGGAGAAAACTTTTTTTTGATTTCAAAGGGAGAAAACCCATTCTTACATTTCAGAGGGAGAAAACTCATTTTTTTTAAAATCACTACTGTACTATTAAAAGAGAGAAAACTCATTATTTTTGTTTCCGTTTCTTTTTAAATCACATTTGTTCAAAGGGAGAAAACACTGCTTTGGTTTTACATTCTGATCAAAACACAATCTTTTTCTCTGAAGTAGTTTTTTATTCATTAATATGTCCAAGAATTGTAAAATTTAAAAGCAGCAAAAGATTTTAACGTGTAGGTATCTGAGCATTTACAACTGAAAAAAAAAACTATAATTCCTATTCCAGGTGATCACAAAAGATTAATATCATATCTAAGGTATTTACATTTCATACATGTACTTTTGCGAAAAGAACTTTTCCGGGAACAAAAAAGAAATAGGACATGGCCATTTTTAAAATAACCATTCCATTTCACAATATGATTAATGTAATTTTTTTGCAGTGTTATTGTTTAAAGTTCTATTTTCAGAATTTCTTGTGACAATCAGTATTGCTATACTATACAAAAGCACCTGGCAAACTTTTAATTACACACACACAAAAAAAATAAAATCAGCAAATTCCCTCCCATACATAAAATATGATTTATCGTGTCATAGTTCAAGTTATATAGTACAGACTTAAGTAAAATGCTTCTTATTTTGGAATCAGATAAATATAAAAATTTTCCAAGAACCTTATTCCGTTTCCTGAACTCAAAAAGACCTTAGAATTGAGAGATAAATTAAAATTAACATAATGGCCGGCACACAAAGCATGATCTTTTTCCATGGCCACTTTTGGAAATGTATTGCAACATAATTGTCAACCCAGATAACCGATCGAGGAAACTTCTCCACACTGGAATAGCTACATGAGACTTTCTGGGCAGTCTTTTAGCCAATCAATTTACACCATCGAAAATTAGGAAACAGACTGTGTTAAATATAGAAAGACTAGCATATTTAGGCCTAGTGGAATGAATGTATTCAAAACATGCATGGAGTATAACATGCCTTGTTGTAAGAATAAAATTCTGAGAATTTGTTTTGATTCAAAAATCAGACTTTTGGCCAAGGTGAACAATATATCTAAAGAATGTAAAAGTATGTATTAAAATTACATTAATATGTAAATTTCCCCAATTCCTGGAATTTGCTTTGTCTGGGGGACTTCTTTGAAAATTTTCAGAACAATTTGTATTAGGTATTCCATTGTTGATAGACTGATTATACAATGATAAGTCAAAATATCTGTCTAATGAATTCTAATAGGAAAATGATAAAGTGATGAAAAAGCTATTAAAACCATTAGAATCCAGTATTCAGATTAAGATTCCCAATGTAAAAATGATTAATCTGAATTTGATGATATATATGATTATTGATATCATGACTTGTAAAAAATGTGACCCAAAACTGTTGACCTCTAAAGCAAGAATGCTAAAGAATACAAGAGAAATGGCCTAAAATCGAAGTAAATGCCTGGAAAGTTTTGGTTTGGCAGTTTCCATGATAAGTGAACATCTTGAATAATAAATAATAATCTTTCATGGAGAAGTTTGTATATTTAATTTTTTCACATAAACTAAATGGAATAAAAATCAAAGATCACCAAATTTCCCCCATGCACAAAATGAAGACAAAAAATTTTTCCCAAAAATGAAATCAAAAGTAGCAAGCTCTTTTTCAACAAAATGCATGTCAAATGTGTTACAAAGCCTCGGCCTTATGATGATTAGGGGAAAAAAAAGAAAACCGTGAAGCCAGGCCCTACCTCGCTCCCCACATGCTCACGCAGAACGTGAATCGCGTCATCCAGCCTCTCTTCCATTCTGCTGGGCTGTGATTGGTTAATTCAAAAAGTGCCAGTTAGTCACATGCAAAAGTCACCATGACAACATAGAGATTAAAGAGTGATGAGAAATATAAAGAAAAAATGAAGAGAATTGATGAAATCTTTCAGAAGAAAATTTATTATTATTGTCTTTAGTTGAAAATGTTGAAATGAAGCAAATTAATAGACAGATAAATTGTTCGCTCTTTTTGAATATTTATTTTACATTTTGATTTTGTCCAAGAACTACACTTTATGCAAGATTATGAACACTCAGAGATGCCCCCACCCCTTACTCAAACTGAACTCAGCTAATTTGAATAACAATAGTACATGGACGTTTTTTCCCCACTTCAGAACCTTAACGAACTTTATTCCTTCAAAAAGCTCCTGATTTAGTCTGTGTCTCACCCATAAGTCATTTATGTCCTGATCCTGATGCAAGAATATAACTTAATTTCTGCATCCCTTTTGCATACTAAAAGTAACAAGTCTCTAAATTTGTACCTTTATGACAGTCAGATGCTAATTTCACTTCGTCACCTTAATGATTTATAGCTCTTAGTTCTACAGATAGTACTGTATACACTAAATTAACTTTTGTAATTATTTTTAGCATTGTCTTACTTTTTCGTGACCCCAAACTAAACAAAAACATTCTTTGTCAACAAGACACCAATTTTTTTTTTTCATTTTTAAGGTTGAAGAAATTTTAAAAACAATTTTTTTATCCTTAAAAGAATAGCATTTTTTTTATTTCAACTTAAATGAAAGAAAATAAAATTTCCCATTATTGACAACTAATGTCTCCTAATCTAGACTTCAAGATAAGTGCTGGAGAACAGCAAGTCACTTTTGGCTCTGGTTCAAGTCAACACCCCCCCCCCCCCCAATTTGTTGAAAATAATTTTAAAGTGTATAAAAAAAATGCATTGAAGAAAGGCAATTGTTAAGAAAAACTTCCCATTTTTTTCAACCCAAGCACAGTAACAAAGACAGAGACAAGTGTTGAGTGTTAATGATAATGTGCAATGTTTAAGTGATAGGAAGTGATTGAAAGAGAAGCAAAGTACTGTAAATCACAAAATTTTTTGTCACAACTTGCTTTAACACAAAAATCATGTGTTATGTAATAGCAAGGCACAATTTTTCCCAACTTTGGTTATCATTATCTTCTAATAATAGAAATACAAAGGAAAATACTTTTTTGCAAGCAGATGTCTTTTATAATTGTAGGCAAAAAATACTTCTCATGAATAAAAAAGTGATTTACAGTACTAAGTTTATTGTCTTGTACTCTTCTGAGCTAAGCCTTCAATGACAATACTATTGGGTTCATCTGGTGTTTGGGCAGTGGGACATATTGTTTAAACATTAAGGACCCCCACACCTTTAACTCCCATCCCAACAACACCACTCCTCCCTCTCTAACCCCCACTCAAATTTCAAATTTTGATTGCATGCCAAGACTTACAATGGTATGTTATTGACTGTAAGAATGACTTATTAAGTTTCTAAAATAAAATGATTTCAATGTTGCTAAGATGAAAATATTTACAACAGACACATGAATGATAGATGGGTTAAACACATGAGAAGGGGCAAATATGGACAAGTATTTTTCTTTTTTAAAAAAAATTGTTCAAGCTGTGAAAGGAATTGAATGAACGTCTGTACCTGTCCAGAAAAAAAACTTAACATTGTAAACTGGTGTTAAAAAAACCTAGAGATACAACAAAATATATGAACATATATACACATGCAACTGGTATCTGTAAAGAGGAAGTAACATGCCCTGACCTGGTGCATTCTGGGAACTTACCAGAGAATGGAGGGGGTTCCCCCCTTCAAAGTGGGGCGAGGTAGAAGATTGTGTAGTAGGCCTCTGCCACTGGCTTGATGATCCTACAATACAGGAATAAATTAAAATATAAAAAAAAAATCAATGAAATTACTTTTTTGGAGGGGGGGTCTTGTTTGTGGTATGACAAGACCCATAATGTCCTCCACAAAATATAAAATATTTTTCCTAAAAAATTTGACCCCTGGAAAAAACATGATATTTTAGCATTTTTTAAAGAAAATACATGATATTTTAGCATTTTTTTAAAAGTAAGAACTTTTTTAAAATCACATTGCATTTTACAACTATTCAGTCAAGTTTTCCATCAAGTCTTTTTTTCAAACATGTTTTCAAATAAGTGTAATTTTTTGTGCAGATAAGGTTCATACGATGATGTAAAACTTGATCCACTTTTTTCCCCCCTGAATCACACTGATCCAGTGGGTGTGGATCTAAAGAGCTCACCTGGGGGTGGAGATGAAACAGGTGTGGAGGGATTTGAACCATAGCTACTATTTGTATGATCTGTTGGCGAATATATCTGAAAAAACAAAATTCAACACATTACATCATCATCAACAAAACACAATATCCAAATAGCAAGCAGATAAAGTTTTTAACTCTTCTTCCAAAATAAAGAGAACCTCTTTAAATTTTCTAATTTTTTCTCACAATGATGGTTAAAATGAATAGGTCCTGATGTTGAATATTTTTCCTCTTAATAATTGATAATTGCAAACTTTTGAAGAAAATATCATCTTGTAGATTGGGGGGAAATCTCGTTTAAAACAAGAGCACAATGTTTTTTTTATCCAGGAGCCCTGTCTTTGTAATTCCCCGTTTTGGGACCTCGTACTTACAGATGCGAGAGCTTTGTTGATGGCGTCCCCTGTCTGGGACCCCTGGGCGCCGCCGCCGTTGACGGTTGGTGAGGGTGAGGAGTATGTGGTGGTCGGGATGGTGGTGCCTGGCCGGAATGTTGACATGGGTGGTAGACCCAGGTTATCCTGCTGTGAGGGGGGAACGGTGGGGTAACCCTGAAAGATGACATAAAATCTATAAATAGCTGTGAGGGGGGAACAGTGGGGTAATCCTGAAACAGGACATAAAATTCATGAATAGTTGTAAGGGGTACTTTGGGGTTTACCCTGAAAAAGGGATAATATTTGAATAGCTGTGAGGGATAACAGTGGGTTGATCCTATGAAGGTGCCCTTGAAAAAGAATCTTTAAATACGTAGCTGTTGGGAGAGGCTATAAAACTTTAGGAATACTTTTAAAATCGTTTATTATAAAACTCAATTCTCAAGCTAGAAAATTCTTGAAATTATGATAAGCCTGTCCTAAAATTAAGATTTTACCTCATAACATTCTTTTTATAATTTTTTTTTCAGCCACAAAGATTTCAATTTTTTTTCTGGTGGCCACTAGATCAGTGAACTGGGAATTTGCCAGAGAAAATAAACACAAAGATTTTTCTGCCTGGAGAGTCACATCCAGAATTTAATGTTACCATAGGAACTGTTTTCATTTAACTACCAGCTTTATTTTGCTTCCAATAAAGCAGTCTTGCACAAATTCCTAGATTTAAAGGAATTTCTCAAGAGCATCATATTGATCTAAAATTTATTTTCGATGAATCAGTCTGAAACAATTATTGCTAAAAAAAAAATTTGGAAGTTAGAATTTTTTTTATTTAGAACTTTTTTTAAAATCATATGCAAAAAATAAATAAAGGAAGTCATAAGCCATCTGGTTTCGGGGGCTTGGGATAAAAAATTGTAAATAGCGAGTAACCATGGCAACAGGATGCTACATGTCAATGGAAATGAACGACCCATTCAAAGCAAGCCCCTGTCAAATTCACTCAAGCGGAAAACCAGAAATCCCTGACAAGACTACGAATCTCCCAATTAAATTTATTTTTGTAGACCCAGATCACATTTATCATATCCCAATTAAATTTTTTTTTATAGTAACATTATTTGCGTCATGCAATCTACTTCAAGCCTGAATACCATAAACTGATAACAGATTTAAGTCAATTTTAATTAATTTTGAGTATCTTGATTTTTATCTAATTGTGTTTTTTGTGTTTCGGAAATTGCAGATTAATGTCATATTTCAAATGAAAAAAATGCATTTTTTTGGTTATCAGAATGATTTCCAAAGAAATATTAACTGAAGTCTTTTCTAGCTTTATGGTCTTGAGGCCTGCAGCTCTGAAATTGAAAGTCAATACAAGTAGTGCATTTAAAATCTCATATTCACATTTCTACCTATTTCTATTAATTTGCAATCAAAGCATGTTTCTGCATTTTAATCTTTATTCTCTGAAATATTTTTACTTGAAACATCTATAATTATATACAAAATTAATGTATAAATTCCAACCTTGATAAATAAAGGAAAAATTATTAAAAATTCCAGTACCTGTTTGAATACTAAATAAGACTGTCTATAGCTTTGCATAAAATTCTTGGTAAATTTTTATCAAGAACTCCAAAAAAAGAAAATCTCAAAATAAATATATAGGTCAAAATTAACAAATTATTTGACAAAAGTTTGGTAAAGCAATGCATAGCAATGATTTGTCCAAAACTGCCAATATTCTATGTACGCAATTCTGTTTTTCTAGGTCGGAATACTTTTCAAGGTCTTATATATAACTAAGATATATCTTCAATATTCTCATAAAAGTAGCACTTTTGGATCCGGAAATCCTCCTTCATCTATCATAACAGTCTTAGAACACACAGAATGAGAGAACCCCTATTGGATGTTTTGCTTTGACAGATCATCATTAAAAATTCAGCTTCAAACAGAATTATATGAACTGCCATAAACAAATGTAATTTAGTGCAAAGCATAAAAAAATCCATTAATTACTATGACATGGTAAAAGAAAAATAATGCTTAATTATCAAAATCAAGATATCTTAATCAAGTTAAGTTCCAATGAACTACTTAATTTGACTTCATGTAAACCACAGAGATGGTTGTTTCCTTGAAAGTATTTAAAGTTGGAATCAGCACTAACAGGCAAAAAATAGAGTCTTATTTCATCTGCTTTTTTTTTCCCTTGCCCCCCTCCCCGTTTAACATTTTGTTTTTGACTTATTGCTCTATGTAACAAGTCTGGCATAAGATAGAAAAAGAAAACTGTTGATCGATAATGAAACCGGCAGCAGAATTTGAAATTCCACATGATGGCATAATTATAATCATAAATTTCTATAGCTTATCTTATTTTTAATTGAAATATTTCTCAGTGCCTTAAAAAAATGTTGTTGTCAAGTTGTTGTTTTTTTTTTTTCATAAGGCTATCTTATGTAATTCCAACAATTCAAAAGCCTTAGAAAGCTCTCCTAATAAATATAAATTACATCAATTAAAATATTCAATTTTTTTTGCATTAGTTCCACAAAACTGACTTTCAATCAATAAAAAATTGTTAATTAAAGTTGTAATGTAAAAAAAAAAAACAAAACAGTTAATTAAACTGTGAAAATGTTATTTCAAATCAGGTTAAGTATGTTTTTATTCTTTTATCTTATGTACGTTTGAATCCCAGCAATTCAAAAGCTTCAGAGAGATCTCAAAATATGTAGTTCATTAAAATATTAATTTTTTTTTTAATTAGTTATATATAAAACTGACTTTCTATCACTAAACCACTGTTAATTAAAGTTACTAAAAAGTTAATTAAACTGTGCAAAAAAAAAATGTTATTGTAAAACAAGTTAAGAAAAGAATTTCCTTCATATAATTTTTTAACTTTTGTACTACAGATATAATTCTGAGAAAATGAAATAAGAATGTTGATTTAGCTGCAGAAACAAAAAGCAAGAAAATATATTTATAGCATGAAAACAATTGTTTTTCCCATCTAAATGTCTATTAATGAATACTGTCTCTGATTTTATTTTTACTTCATAAAAGGCAGTAAAAAGAGGGAACTATACAAACTATACCCTAAAACTCAGAAAGCTAAAGTTAAATTAAATATTCCTTGAATAAAGAACCTAAAATCAAGCTATATCTTAAACTAGACATAAAAACTATGTCTAGGAAAAGATGCCCCCATAAAGCGTACGACACTTGATCTAAACTTAAGTTACACTAAATTCCATATATTTTCTATTAACACTGTATTGTGTCAAAATTTCTTTGAAAAGCTGTTAACTGCAACATTGCTAGCCTAAGGAAATCAAAATTTTTTGAAAACCTTTAAGTTTTAATTGCACACTGCATACAAACCTCAAAAATCAAAACCTCTGAGATAATTAGCTGTTATACATGTGACTATATATGCATACAGTGAGATAGTGACCGAGTACACATTGCTACGCACTGCTGTACCAACCTGTTGAGGGGGGTGCCTGGAGGGGGCGGAGGAAGACGGACTGTTCCCCAACCACTGGGCCACCATCACCCCGGGGGAGTGGCGCACCTCTGGCCCCCCGGGGCCAGCGGGGGAGGACCTTACCATGTCGTGGGAGTGATGCATGTTGGGATATGCTTGAGAGTGATGACTGTTGCCTGGCAACATTGAGGGATATGTGGAAGAGGGAGGAAGTCCGTTGGTGGCTGACCATGGGTCAGGGGTGTTGTGACCAGGCCCATCTGTAGAAGAAAGAAAGAAAAATATTAAATTTTGGAATTTTTAGCCAAAGTGTTGGCATCAAAAATTCATTAAATAAAGAAAAACATATTGTATACAGGGAAATTTTTTGCCCCCGTTTTATTTTCGCTCTATCCTCCTTTGGGCTTATTTAAGATGGGACAAATTCTAAGAATACGGTATAATTTCTGAAACAAAACTATGACTGCGTGAATTTAAAACCGGGCAAAATTGTTTTCAAGTGTGAAAGGGCAAAAATTACAAATGGCGCAAAAAAAAAAGGTATACAGTACTTTGAAAAAATAGAAATTTTAGCAAAAGATTCAATTTTTGGCTTTTTTAACCAAAGTGTTAGCATAAAAAAACATAAAAAACATTAAACATAGAAAAACATACTTTATAGGTAGAAATTTTAGCAAGTATTCAATTTATGGCATTTTTGAACCAAGAGGTTGAGTTCACTAAAATTGAGCATCACTAACAAATCATTCCTTATTGGACTTGGGAGTTTTCTTGGGAGTATATTTTAACTTTGATATCTTAAAAACCTAGATATCGCAAAAGTTTTTTTTTAAGTCCCAGATAACAATGATTGACTGTATAGCTAGTACAGACATATTGACAACAAAATTTTTATTAATTTAATTTTAATTAAACTCTCTCCCGAAATATCAAAATGATTTACTTCAACACAAATTAATATCTGCGTTGCTGCACTGACTTAATTCCTACATATAAATAGCCTTATAATTAAAAAAAATCAATACTGAGTGTAATGTATTCCTGAAAAATTTTTTCCATGAAAAAAATTATGAAAATTTATAATCGTATACAATGCACTTTTGTTGTTTTTTAACACCTACGTAGAAGTTTGAAACAATAAAATTACAAGAAACTTATTAATAAATAACCCATTAAATTCATAAATCAAACCTAAATTCCACTGTATGTGATAACAAAGCAACAAGATTGCATTCAAATTTTGCATACCCTCCCATTATAATTCAAATTGCAGTCTGCATTTTTGGCACTACATCAAAAGGTATCAAGTAATGCAATTATGTCACTGAATTTAACGAGAACAGAATATGAAAATTAAATATTTATTGACGTCTCAATTCTTGATCTGAATTTGCACTGATAAAATATTGGTGCAGATCAGTTGACTCGTAGGTAAAAGACACGCAAAACAGCTCAATAAGGGATTTGTGCATTTAAAAAAAAACATTACTCAAAAAAGAATTTGTATTTGAATATTATATCATGACATAGTAAAATAGGCATTTATTTATCTTTGGAGAACATTTGGTTGGTATGTTTATTTGTCTGCTTGTTTTTTGGAGGGGGTAATATAACACTTATTTACCTGGCATGTAGTAAGAGTCCTTGCAAAACAATAAATTGGGTGATTTTTGTTGATCTGTCTGTGTGTTTGTGTGTCTGTTTGTTTGGGGAGGGGGTAATATAATATAGCACAAAAATTTGGGGGATTAAATTTGTTTATTTGTATTACAAGTCCGAAAATTTAAATGATTACATATTGAATAGGATTACATTCAAAACAACGAAATTAAATGCCAACGAAACTATTTTTTATGACAAATCAACGAAATTTTATACCCACGAAAATATGTGCTTTTACAGTAACATTTATTTACCTGGCATGTAGTAAGAGTCCTTTGAGAACATTGGGTTGGGTTGGGTGATATGTGTATGTCTGTCTGACTGTTTCTATGGGTTGGGGTAGGGTCGGGGGTTAATATAACATTTATTTACCTCGCATGTAGTAAGAGTCCTTCGAGAACATTGCGTTGGGTATGTCTCTCTGTCTGACTGTTTCTGTGGGTTGGGGTAGGGTCGGGGGTTAATATATCATTTATTTTCCTGGCATGTAGTAAGAGTCCTTGGAGAACATTGCGTTGGGTGATGTGTGTGTTTGTCTGTCTGTCTGTTTGTGTGTGTGTGGGTGTTGGTGGGGGGTGTTGGCCTGGGCTCAGGTGGGAGGGGTTAATATGACATTTATTTACCTGGCATGTAATAAGAGTCCTTGGAGAACATTGGGTTGGGTGACGTGTGGTATCGATTACCAGATTCACTGTACTCCTCGGGACTAGAGGGGTACATCTGTAATGGAACAAAAATATAACAGATCAACTCTAACACAAAATACACAAGTATAGTAGACACAATGAAATATATTTTTATTTTAATTTTTTTAAAGTGTAGTGAGCATTCTTTTAAACAAAAGTGATGTCTGTAGGAAATCACATTGATAAATAAACACAGTGTGATAACATTATGGTTTCCCTAAATCTTGTATTTGTCAATGAACTGCTTGCCTTATCAGCTCATCAAACCCTCTAAACATCCATCATCCTCAAAGACCCTGTAATGTTTTATCTAGGGTTTGGTCAGGATAACCGAAGCCTACCTATATTTTTACCCTGGCAGGGAACTAAAACAGATCAGCACTTATCAAATACACATGTAAACGTCAGATCTCATTCAGCGACCTTGAAAAAAAGTTATTATTTTGGGAGCCGGAGTTTTTCCCATCATGAAATTTTGAAGTCTTATCTACAAGGGTTTATTGCAGTTCGTTAACATTGGCCTCAGCTATTCATGAGAATTTTTTTTTTTTAAGAAGACAATGATCATAGTAATTGTAGAATATATAAACCAAAAGAACCAGGCACAGCTTGATACCTAGTCAAATGCCAATCAATAGTCATAAATGGAAATATAGATTTTTTAGTATGATTTGTGCAATATGATTTTAAACAAGATTTATGCAGGAGAAAACGGTGGCATCAAGGACAAAGACAAATTGTATGCACTTAATTCCTTTATTTCCAGAAAAATCTTTACTTCAGGCCACTAAAGATTTTATACACACACCCAATCCTGTTTTTGAAAAAAAAATATTTTGGTATTTTCAAAAATCTCCTACAAACTGTTTTCAATAAATAAAATATACGTTCAACATCGTACAGCTAGACAAACAACAAATTCATAAAAACCCCGAAACACTTAAAGGTGTAAAAACACCTGGCATCTCCTAATTAACTTGATTATGAAAACTACCAAAAAATCAACAGCAAGCTTTCCCGAGAAAATCCAAACCACATGTGATCTTCCAAGATTTTCACCTTCTGTGCTAAGCAGCAAAGCCCCGATTCTTTGAAGTTTTCAAATTGGATCAAAATTTGAGCAAGTGTATAATAAACTCCAGGCCTAGGGGAGGCTGAGATAGGCTTTGAGCTGCTGGCACTGGTTAATGCTGAGCATTTGTATCAACAGAAATAGACAAGTTTTTAGTAGCGAATTCACACCTATTTCAGTCGGATTATTACAGGACGTTAATTGGATTCATGTGGAAGGGAAAGCTAGAACTTGAAATCCAATAGGGAAAAAGATTTAATAACCACAAAAAGGATAGAAAGCCTTAAAGCCACAAAGTTGATGGCATAAAATGATTAAAACTTAATAATTTTTTATTTTGTTGAGGAAACAAAATACTAATGAAGGTTTATAATAAAATTGGATGACATTTTAAAAATTCTTAGAGAAACTTTTTATTATTAAAAATGTTTTGTTCCCGCCTTTCGCGAAAGTGGAGGGACATACATTAAATCAAATATTATATATATCATACATCATATTGAAGAGGAAAAAAAAAAATACATATATTACAGGTAAACCAAGAGAGTTGACAAGTCAACCTTAACTTCCAAACAACAAAATAAATATCAACAAAATGAACCATAATTGAAGATATAGACCCTTCTGATCTTCAACACCGAAATTGCGGACAAAACAGTATTCAAAGTCAATCACCAAATTACGCAAATTCTGGTAAAATGTAAGTTATTACCTATTCACTCAAATTTTGTGCACCAGAGAAATGAAAGCTTGATTGTCCTCAAACATTTTACTTGCACAACCATAACTAGCCCTTTCAGGATAACTACGGTACTATTCTTCTTTTGCAGGCCAAATTAAAAACGTTAGGCAAAGTGCTTGTTGACAGATAATTAATTGCCGTTTATTAAACAACTGCTTTTACGCCATATTTCAAAAAAATATATCATTTTGCCATGCAAATGAGTACAGTACCGCAGTTATCGTGAAAGGATCTTTTCCAAACATTTCCAACTTATTACATCAATGGAGTGTGTGTGTATTTGTACTTACCGGCACCCCCGCCACTTTAGTAGGGAGGTACATCCCCAGGGGTGGGGGTAGATAGGGGTATGTACAATACATCCGCCGATAAAAGTCCCTCCTCGAATCCAGGTTGAATGTTTGTGCCAGCTTCACACTAACCAGAAATTTTAAAATTCTAACGTCACAAGTTATCCTGTTAACTCAACCATAAAAGGGCTGTATTATTGCCCCTTTTAATCAAAGTACTGAGAGTACTCAAATTTTTCCTTTGTTGGATTACGTCCTTTAATTTACTGTTACAGTATGAATCTCAATTTTTTTCACCCTTAATTATATCATGATTTCTTTATGCACACTCTATGTTTCAGGTTTCGTAAAATTAAAATCCTTGTAAATCAAACAAACAAGCTCCAGGTATATATATATCTTTAGGTGAGACAAGGTGCATGACGAGAAACTGTGATATTAATTAATTTTCCTTTTTTCCACATTGGCTGCTTATAAATGGCGGAAATGAAGTTAAAAAATCACGAGATACCCTGTCAAGCTACGGTATTTTGATTAATTATTACGTCTTCCATTTGCCCCTATTCCAAAGCAAGATGTTACGACAACTTTCCGTTGAAATCAGCCTTTGTTTCAAAGTCAGCTTCATATATTTTTCACTCCTTGATGCGCACGAAAAAGTTTAATTTAATACAAGTCCAAATACAGAAGTAAAATCCTCAGAAAAATAAATTAATTCCAATGAAAAGAATTTTTTTTTTTTTTGGTAATGCCAGTATGACTGCATAGAATGAATAGCCTTATCTCGTCCTTCCTGCACACACAACCGTTTTTCCATCCATAAAATTCCAAACCCGAAGAAAAACAAAACGTACAAGTTGATGCATATACAAAAAAAAAAATCAAACTGTCAATAACATCCAATGAAATCAAACTTTGATTAAGATTCCCATAGACACTGTGTGTTACAAGGTGTGAGAGAGAAAACTCTAGTGTATGGGAAGGAAAACCGCGGATGGTTTAGCGGTATGGGCCCAGGAACTAGCTATTTCAACAAGGCTGGTGTGTTTTAACATCTGCCGCTGATTAGAGACATTGAAAATTCTCAACAGTTTTCTGGAGAAAAACAGTTAGAGAAGTGGAAGGGTTTGTACACATGGTCTATACCTATATATATATTGACCTGCTATATTTATGTAGACCTTTACATATCCACCTGTTTTGTATGCATGTCTACCTGTTAAATGTTTATATCTACCTGTTCACATCAAAACATCCTGTTTTCAATTAACTAATCTTTGATACACTCTTAGAAATAATTCAGAGTTTTTAATACAAATACAATAAATGTCAAAATGATCAATTTCAAAATATCAGCATAATTAAAAGCTACGTTTAACAGTCAATATAAAATGTTATGTTAACCTTTAGCAGAAATCCTGATTTAAAGTAATCTTCTGGTATGCAAATAATTTTTGTACAAAAATATCCATTTCAAAAATAAACACACACACACATGGAAATGCTTTTTTTGTCAACCGTCAAAAGTGCTCAACAAATTTCTTCAAAATGGCAAAATTTATCTCAATTTTTTTTTCCTGGTACATTGTGCATATTGTTTATGGTAAATTTAGCTATAATTTTTTTTTCAAGAAGCAAACATGAAAAAACTTTTTTTTCATACAGCCCTCAAATCCTATTCAGAAAGAAAAAAAGACCACATTTATCAAAAAACACATTTTTTTCATTGGTTCAATATCACTTCAACATAAATCTCGCTTAGCCTGCAAATCATTAAGTAGTATATATCGCCCCCTGTGGGGGGGCAGGAAAAGATAATATCGCACTTCTCCGGGACTTGGCACCTTGAGAAGATTCATCAGCTGCAGTTGAATTACCCAACCACCGGGAAACCTAACAGCTTGTCTATGTATTCTTACACCTTCCATATTTATAAACCCTGATTTATAACTAGATAAGTTACATCATGTTTATCTTAATGGGTGTGAGGGGTTTCTTCTTGCCGGGCAAATTTTTAACAAAGTATTTCCGTTACAAAGAATGTGTATTATCGATGTCTTTGGTATTAAGCTTTTTTTTTTCTTGGTAGATGCGTTTTTTTTTTGTTTTTTGTTTTTTGTTTTTTTTGTGCTAGATATAAGCACTTCCAACTTATTATAAACTTGGCACGAAGCGCAGGTCATTGTAACTTGATCACAGATAGGGGAAAGCATTGGGTGAATTTTTACTTGAAAGAAATGTTCTCGCCTTCGCACTTAGAACTCGGGAGAAAAACATTCGATATGTGAGGAAATGCAAACAAAAGAGAGAAGTGTCTTACCTTGTTAGAGGGTGTGAAAAGACAAACAATTAGATGTCTGAAAGAAGAACAAGATGAGAGACAAGAGAGAGATTCCTAACTAAAACTGCCAACCAATAAACTATCTAGAACTGATTCTAATTCATCTCTGTAGTTACAAACTACAGTCAAACCTCATTATTTTTAATGGACCCCTATAAAAAGTATCAAGAGACACGAAATATCCTGGCAAAAAAAAACAAAACAAAACAAAACAAAGAAATCATGGAAGGGGTTCACAACATATTTGTGGTATTTGAGATATCAGGGTTCAAGATATCAACTGTCATAAGTAAACAGATTTCAAATAATACACCAATTAATACCTGAATTACAGGCCAATCAGACACTGACCTCAATTTGAAAGACCAATCAAAACTAACCTCAGTAAGTTAAAAGACCAATCAAAACTAACCTTAGTTAGTTAAAAGACCCAATCAGAAACAGACCTTAGTTAACAGGCCAATCAGAAAACCTTAAAAGTCCAACAGACAATGACCCAAATTAAAGAAACCAATCAAAAACCGACCTCAGTTAATGCACCAATCACAAACTGACCTAAGCTAATACATCTGCCAAATCAAAAACTGAC